GGGGTGTCTTGAAATGTGGGTGTCTTAATATGTTGAGACGTGCAAATGTGGATGTAATAAACAATCGGGGGATCCCCAAAAATGGTGGTTTTGCCTTCTTGCTTCCCTTGACACCATCCCAAGAAGGGTACACTCGAAAAACACGTGCATGTCATGATTCTATCTATTCTATGTTCACAGCAAACAGATACTTATGATTTATAGAACCTAGGTAAATCAGACACCATTCTTTCTAGAAACCACCTGACTTCTCGGGGGGGCTGAAAAGCCTTTCTTTCTTGAAAGAAGGGGCGCTGAACAGCGACCCTGAAAAGGCTTGGCTGGAACTAGGACCCCATCAAAAAATATATGTTTTTTGCCTGGTTAGTGGAAAACAAAGGGGATCCCAACAAAGCAAACAAATAAAAAGGGGAACTATTTCTGGGGAAGAAAGGAGGACTCACTACGGTACTCAGAATTCAAGGGAAATCCTGACAAGCTTGTGGGGCATGCCCCACATTCGTGGGCATTGGCGGATCGACAAACCCATCCTACTAATAGATAGGGCAGCTTACCCCTGCAATAGTGATGAATCCCCACTAAACCAGGACGCCGACTTTTTTCATCCACTGGGGTTTAATCATCCGGGGTTCCCATTGCCACTAGGTCCTCCAGTCCCTTTTTTCTGTAGTCTATTTTAGTAGGGGAACCCTCCCTCCTAAAAAGGGCACTACGGGAGGGACCTAGGCCAATTTTTTGGACGGGAAGGCCGACTGCTTTTCACACCTCGCCGCCAATTCCTGCGGTTCCAGGCCAGTCATGGACCAAAAATGAGAACTCCACGTCCCTGCGCAGAGCCCTGGTTCTGCCACAGCCGCACTGAGCTTTGCAAAAAAAAAGCCAAGGCAGCTGTGGCCCAATGGTCTTGGGCCAGTACCATGAGGGCAATGAAGCATAGCTCTTAACTTGGCGACCAAATCCAGAATCTGGGATACTCCGAGAATAAGCTGTTCAGATGGTGTTGCGTATTTACGGGACTTAAGTCAATAACATACAATGGCTTCGGAGGAGACTCCATTGGCAAGCCCAGGGAAATCAATCCGCAACTCACCTTGGCTTTTCGGACGCTTCAAACGGCATCGGTTGCTGGGTTCTTCCGAGATTTGTCAGTTTGTTTCTTCCCCCAACAGCTGAAAGCTTTGGGGCCTCAGCCCAGATAGGCTCCGGGGTGGTCCGGGGCGGCGTTCCACCAGGGTTCCACCGGGGTTCCACGAGGTTCTGCGAGGGCTGCGGGGTGGTGCGTGCTGTTGGGGATATCACCTGCGTGTTTTTGTTCTTCTTTTTTTTTCTTTTTCGTGTGGATGCTATACTTCACTTGAGTCGTTGTCGAAGTTGGTAAGCACTTACACCTGGGAAAGTAGATGGCACAATTCCCTTTTGTCGGCAACTAACGGGATGGCTTACATAAATTCCCCGACGTGAATTAAGCTCACTTTCCAAGTGCATTGGCCAAACAAAGTCCACACTGCTCCACTACCACCAAGATGGTCGAAACCCAAAAAGATCTAAAATCACAAACTCAGGCAGTGAGCTTAGGGAGTGAGTAAAGGTGCCCCTAGTAAGGGACTTTCATCACCGCTCCCAAGATTGACTTCAGCCCTAGTCATTGGGCCCCTCATTTGACGGGTAGCATCCCACCTCATTTGACGGGTAGCATCCCAATTCTTTCCAGGTATCCTTATTTCCAGAACACCACCAGAAACCAACAGAAACGCTTAGCGGTGAATAAGAAGGATTGAACATAATGTGGGCATTCCACCCAATTAATCTTGGCAGTCCCAGGATCCTCTGCTCAAAGTTTAACAGTTGAACTTGCGACATAAATACCCAACCACTACTAAAACGCGAGCCTAAGGCCACCAAACGGGTTTCAAACCCCGACTGAACCAAAGCGAAAAACCCCAGGAACCGGATGGCCAGAACCAAGTGCTACGCACCGATGCTTCGATCCGCCTCCAGAGTCGCGCGGGTCGCGTTGTTCACATCCGCGTCCCGCAGAAAAGCTCGACCCGGCCTGGCAAGCGCCAGGACTGAAGAAACATGTTGGTCTCGTTTTTGCGTTGGGGCTACAATTGGCAGCCCCTTTTTCCCCCACTCGGTTTGCTTTGCGACCCACCCACCCCTCCCCGTTTTTGGCCTCGTGGGGTTGACCATCCATAGGGCCTGCTCTACCGACAGGGATTCTCAACAAAACTCACCTCCCATCGAGATGGGAGGAAACAACTTGTTGGTGCGATAGGCAGGGAGTGAGACGTGGAATGACCCCGGACAAAACAATCCCTGATGGTTTCCTTTAAGGGGATCCCTGGGTTCATTCCCAAACTCCTGTTCATTCCCTACTGAGAACCAGCAAACAAAGGCTTGGCCACAAAACAAAAAGGGTAGCCCTCAAAAGAAGACACACCCATAAGGCCACTCCATTGACCTGTTCCGGAGTGCGGCTCGATTTCAGGTTGGCCGTATGGCCTGGTGTAACATTCTGAAAGCTTCAAAATCATTGACCCGCAGACTTCTGCAAGTCTCTGAGTCGCCGTGCCTCCCCCTCTTACGGTGAATCCAACGAAATGCCGAGAAAACACCCAATCGCCGAGTTCAAACAGCTTCCAATATGTTTCAAGTAAGATTTTCAGCGCGTAGAAGCGCTGCAATCTTGCTCACAGACCCGCCTACCAGGGTGGGTCCAGACATTTGGCCGATTCCAGGTCTGAAGAAAGACTGCCGAACACCGCGTTGCGCCTGCTGCGCTCACTGCGCCTGCGACAGTGAGCGAAGTGCCCCTGCTGCGGTTGGTATGCCGCAGGTGGTTTTTTGTGGGGTGGCCGAAGAATCTTGCGGCCTCAACGGAAACTCCCGCCACACCCTCTAGGTCCTCCAGTAGAGAGGTTAGAATAAGGGTGCCCTTTTGGATTCTGGTTTGTCTATTTTTGTAGGTTTCAACCCTTCCCCCCAAAAAAAGAAACGGTAAAAGTGAGGGCACCAATTGCTGGGGAACCTAGCCCTAAAAACCAAAGAACAAAAACTAAGGAACCGGATGGCTGGGAAGCTCTAAGTCCAAAAAGGCCTTTGTTTGAGGTCCAAAACCTGCCGAAGATCCGAACCCCGCCATCGGGTCAATGATGCACTGTGGCTTTAAAATGGCTTTAAAGGATGGCTCACCGGGTCCAATGATGCTTAATGGGTTTCGGGCCGATGGAGCCACACTGCTACCCGGGAAATTCCTCTGTGCAACCACAAATTGGAAGAGGGAACAGTTTATATGGTTGATTTGAACATCAGGATATAAACTGTGCCACTTGGATCCAGGTCAATGGACTTGGATCCACTTGGATATATCCTGACTTGGATCCAGATGGTCCACTTGACCAGGATCTCCTTTCTTTGGGTGCTGATTCTAGGCGCTTGTTTTGATTTGCCAGCCGAAGCAAGGAGCTGAGCACTTTGAAGGTGGGCCTGAGAAGTCGCTTAAAATAGATCAGGAAGGAGCTGGGCCTGAGAAGTGGCGGTTCACTTTGATCACTTGGCCTCTAGAAAATCGCCACCCGAGCTGTTTCTCAGAAGAGTCGAATGGTGAGAAGCCCAACGGCCTGGCCAGTTGGCCATGGGCTTTTCAAAATCCAAATCGGACCACCAGTGAACATCCTATTCAATCCAACCACTAAAATAGGTGCTAAAATGGGTGTGAATTCACCTACCAACCAAAATGGTGCCATTGGTTTTGACCCACAGCCATTTAGAAAAGCTGTTCATCCCTCACCCCAAACCATGGGGGGCCCAAGGGCCCAAGGCTTCACCTTCTGACGACCTGGACATCGAGTTGAAAAACCCCCCAGCTGAGGGCTGCACCAAATCAGCAATTAAAACCCTGGTGCCCAAGCTAGAGGGGGTGATCAAAAGGTTCGATGAACACGGAATGACCATTGGTTGGGAATCCACGAAACATCTTTCAAGCACATGGGGAAAAAGTTCTCCGTCAAAACTGGGGGCCTTTCAAATTGATCAACCAACGTATCCGAACAAGCAACGTCGAGAAAAACCAACGCACAACACAGCTCGAACCCGCTGAGTTCATGGAACGGACAAAGCTGGCGGTTGCCTTTGCCGAAATTCTGGCCGGAAAGCTGCACGCCAAAAAAAGTTCGCTCCGAAACCCCCGCAAAAATACAAAAAAACACTGTGACTTGGACCCAGTTTCAGCTGCATACTCCAAAAAGGTTGCCCGCAGAAGTTGTGGTGTCCCTGGAAAAACCACTCCAAAAAGGCTGCCCGGGCAAATTGCGGGCTCCGGTTTCGGTGGCGGTTGTCTTTGTGCCGTTGGAGAAATTTGAAGTTGGTCTTCAAACAGTAAAGTGTTGAGCAACCGAAACAAATGTGTCACAAGGTTGAGGCACTTTATCAATCATGTCCAGGCGCTCCATTTGTGGAAGGTGTTGAACGCCTGCTTTCCCCAGAAGGAAGCCCACTGTGCACTTCCATGATTGATGGCAAAAGGGTGTGAGGTGCTATGAGAGTGGAAGGAAGGGTATACATTGGTCGTGAAGCGTGTCTCAGGAGATGTCACGTTCTGTGTGCTGCTCTGCCGGACTGCCCCATGCAGAGTTTGAACCGTTTGAGGTAAGGGGGGTGATCAGTATTCCCCTTACAGCCCCCAGTTTATGGGTAACTTTCTACTCTGGCATCCCCGTGCAGAAGTTGAAACGTTAAAGAGCAAAGACATGGGTTGTTGAACGCAAGCCTTTGGTGGTCGGATTCGCGTGGGAAGCGTTTCACCCGGCACCTCCAGCACACGGTGAAGTGCTCCTGCGAGTGGGAAGACAAGCATGGAAAAATACAGATGGGCAAATGACTCTTACTCCACGAAAAGCAAACAACACACACAAAAAGCAAACAAACAAATGAATGGACCCACAAAGGCCTAAGTAAATTGTGGAACAGTTAAAAGAGCAGTGAAGAAAAAGACCGGCACCACAACCAAAAGGGCAAAACCCGATGCAAACTTCTTGACACAGGCCTCCCTGCATTCCTCCTTAAGGGTCAGCAGGTAAGGTTTCAACTGCCTGATATAGGTACCCAGACCCCTAGTGGCCATGGGCAACAAAGTAGCACTCTGGTTTTTGGTCGTTGATTTTAAAGGGAAACATGGGGGCGGCTCGGCTCTCTTTCAGGCTCGGTACCCCTGTTTGGTTGGTTTGAAAGGACCAAAACTAGGTCCTCCAGTAGAGAGGTTGGAATAAGGGTACCCTTTTTTCTGTAGTCTATTTTAGTAGGGGAACCCTCCCCCAAAAAAGGGGAAAAGGGCACTACTAGGGGACCTAGACACTCTTAGGGGGTCCCCTAAAAAAGGACACACCCATCCAAACCAAGGAAAACAGGACGCAACCCACCGAGCCACTGGGGGCAACCCCAAAGAAGACGGGGGGAAGAAGCGACGGGACCGTCTCCTTCGCCGCAGTGCTGTCATAGCCAAAGGAGTTGTCCCACATCTTGAAGCGAATCACCTGCCGGATGCGAAGCCGGGGTTCAACATGCCAAATAGCTCCCCTGGCAAAAGAACACGGCAAAGACCACAACAAAACTGACGGTATTTAAAGTACACTTGGGTGCTTTCCAGTGGCTTGTACAAACAGTTTAAATGGTTGGGCAAACCTCCAGATTCAAAGACAGGAAGTCAAGATAGGAAGTGTATAGAAGCGTGGGCAAGTGGAATCCCTTGGGGAAATAGCAACTTCTGTGATATCACCTCAGGTTGGGAAATTTGATCCACAAACATGAATGGGGGTTCTTCCTCACAAAAAATGGAGTCACGCACAGCCGGTGGCTGTTAAAAAATCGACAAATTGCCCATTTCCCCCCCCTCCAGTCTCCCGAAAAGCCCTGCCAAGGCCCGAACATGCAAAATGCCAAGCGGATCAAAACAGAACGGCCAGAATCAGTATCCAAAATCCGCGGAAACAAGGTGGTCTTTATGCCAGCTTTCGTGGAAAAATGATCGACCCCCTCGTAGTGAAGGATTCCTTTTTGAGGGGGTCGCCCATTTTCTCACAAAAGGTGGCAAAAAGACCCCCCCCCCCTGCGCGGAAAAGCAATTCTTCACCTTTTCAAAAGACTCAAGGCAAACTTCCAAGGGTTGCTTTCAACCTATTTTAAAAAATGACTTGGTGCAAGGAAATCACAATGGCGCAGTTCGGCGTCATTGCAACTCATTCCTATCAAACCGCATTTGAGGACTTGTGTTTTCTTTGTAGGATACCTTTTCTGGGTTGTTTCACAGGAAAACAACATGAACACCACATTTTTGTGGCTTCCCCCCCCCCGCCGATTTTATTGATTTGTGACTCCCCGCCCCCCATTTTGACACACACTTGTGGTACCCCCCAGAGGAAGTAGTCAATGTGATGGCGTCATCTCTTCCGTCTTGCAGAGACCTCTGACATATTCGAATGCACACGCCTGTAGCATGTCGCCCAAACACCCAGCACGCCCCTCGCGAGCCGCCTGCAGGCGGGGGCAATGCTCCGCCAGCTCCGCGAAGCCGTGGGACTGCAGCTGCGCGGCGAAGCGCACCTCAGGACTCTCGCTCTCCCGGCGAGGCGCCTCTCCGCAGCCGCCCCCCGTCAGCCGGCGGGGTGTGGTGGAAATGGAGCCACTGCTGTGAAGAATTGGAATGAACCCGACAGAAACCAGCCAACCGTGGTGTCCTTCATTGAATCCCAACACCTACTGAGCAGCAAAACAAGCCAGCCACACAGAGTCCGTGCGGGTAAACTGCTTTTGAGTAAGTTGCTATGCTTTTCAAGATCGCCACTCTTTAGGTCGTTGTCCACCCAACGAAAAAAAGAGAGCTTACCCACTCAAGGATAGCTCATATACCCACTCCAAAACCCACTCCAAAAGGACTCAAAGGAGTTTGCACCCTCAACGCCACTGGAGGCCTAGGTGTGTTTTTGAGGGGCCGTCCCCGCAACACTCCGCGCCCCCCCCCCCCCAATGGTTCAGGATTACGCCGAATGAAGTACGGCCAGGCATGATATACGCTCAGACCTCCAGATGTGGGAACGGTGTGGAAGACACCCAACCATTGCTTGGCCATGTGTCGCTCGTCCCTTTGAGGAATCGCACACCCCTTGAAAATTTGGCGTTTGAGTTGCTTCTGGTTTTCCTTGAAACGCCACCAAAAGAGGGTGTAATTGTAAAACAACTTCCACCAAAAGAGGTAGCAAACAGCTCATGGACCCTTTGGGGAGGTGAGCCTTTGGGTACAAAGAACAAACTATAGATTTTCTGACTCTGTGCTGTTGAGGGGAACCCGCAAATTTAACCTACCCGAAAATCAACATCATTTTGGAGACCCCCAGATTCTAGTGGCGGATTTCCATTCTGTTCGCTCCTTCGTTTCGTTTGCACTGAATCCGTTTCCCGTAGTGGATACGACTTGCGTCCGAAAGCTCAGAGTGGTTGAAAGCTCCACCTATGTCCTCCAGAAAGGAAATCCATGGACTGGGCCAATTAGAGTATTAGAGGCTATCTGTGTGTGTGTGTGTGTTGTGCTTCGGGTTTGTTTTTGTGTGTGCTGTTGGTGTTGGTGTTTGCGTTTGCGTTTGTGTCTGTTTTTGTGTGGGTTTTGAAAGGATACCATGTTCAGCTTGGTTAATTGGGAAACCACAAGGCAAACCACGATTGGGTCTCCCACTTTCGGCGCCCCACTTTGCTAATGAAACTATACAGTTGTGTGTTGCTTTGGGTTGATGAAACCACGCGCGGAATTTTGCGGTTTTTAGGCCACATGCCTTGCCAAAGCCTGGGGGGCCATGCATTACCTCCTGAGCCTTATTTCGGACAGGGGGTGTTTCCCGGATAAACCACGACTAGGGCCCCGAGAAACAATGCCTCAAGGTGGATCTTGTACTCCAGCAGCGCATCTTTTAAGAGGCCAATCTGGGACCCAGAACTTGGGTTGACTCAGCGTATTCCGCCCACATCTTGCAAAGGAACCAGTTGGAAACTCAGTGACTTGCCACACATACCACGGTTTAATCAAGGGAACAAAAACACGTGCTTCATATTCCTGTTGGATGGATAACCCAGAGCCTCGCGGGCTCCCGTCTCTTCTCAGGTCCGACTGTCTAAGCCCGGTGAACGTGGGCACAAGAATCCAACGCGCAAGTGCTAGCAAAACACAAGCCGCCAACAATGTCACAAGTAAACACAAAAAAGAAAACGAGCAAACACACATGGGTTGATCTTTTACCGCATGCCACATGTCCACCTTTTCTTAGTTGGTGGGGGAAACCGTCCTTTGCCAAGGCTAGAAGGCTAGAAGGAGCACGCAAAACCCACAGAGCCAAACATACCTCTGGCACGCATGCATCACGCAAACGGGTGGTATTCAAATGGGCGCCTTTGTATGTATGGATTCAGGCACACACACACAAACAAACAAACACGCCCGGGCTGTCAACCGGACTGAGTTGCCGGCCGCATCACGGTAAATGCGAGTGCTTGTATTCACCTGAGAAGTGTTGAAGAGACTCGAATCCCCCGAAAGAAAATCCAAGGCGTCAAAAAAGGGGAACCGCAAAATGGTGGCCTTCTTCTTGGTTTCTGTTTGGACCAACCTGAACGGATCATTACCCTCAAAACATACACCCATCCCAACTGCCTAAGACTGCTCTGGAAGACTTCATGCGAAACAGCCAAGTGGCGCAGACCTGTTTTTTCGGTGTGAGCTGACACCAAACCAATGGTTTAGAAAGGCCATGCATACGAATACAATTGAACACGCACTGCGGAAGCCTGATGCCCTACAAATATCGGTGGGAGGCGTCGGAAAGTCAAACTCACTTCTCCGGTCAGAAAAAAAAACACAAGTCTCTTGTGTACCACTAGGATCACTTCCTGAGCGGATTGGCAACAAAAAGTATGAACTTTGTATTTACCACCAAAATGATCTTCCCGATTCTTCCCGAGCATAAAGCTCAGGAACTCAGGAAGCGAGGTCCAACATCACCGTCGTGCTTGGTGGAGGAAGGAGGATTTTCGAGAAGCCCACGTTCGCCCCAAGTTCGGTTGGTTCATACTGTGGATGGACGAAATTCTGGGTATTTACAGGGGAATCAACATTCCAGGATTTCTTAGGTGGTGCGAAATGGATTTCGTCCATCCACAGTAGGACCGAGCGGTCGTCTGAAACCCTCGGCTTCGGCGCTTCGGCGCTTCGGCTCGGCCCGGGCCGCTGGCCAGGATCTCCTCCTCCTCCCCAGGCTCAGAGTCCACCAGCACCTCGGGGGCCGGGGGGACCGGGCGAGAGAGAGGCCCCTGTTGAAGACGACCCCAGTGTTCTGCTGGTGGACAGGTCGCTCAGCGGCAACACCCTGGTTCAAAACTGCCAAGAACGGCTCGGAACCAGGACGGAGGAAGGGCTTGGCTGAATAATGCTAGGTCCTCCAGTAGCGAGGTTAGAATAAGGGTACCAACTTGTTTCTGTAGTCTACTTTAGTAGGGGAACCCTCCCAACCAAAAAAGAACGGTAAAAGGGCACCTGGCTGGGGGACCTAGCCTAGTAGAGTGGCTTGCCTGGAAGCACTGGGGGTAACCAACAAATCTCCAAAGGGTGGTGCAGGTGAGGACATCAAAACCGATCGGTATTAAAATGGTCAGGACCTAGAATGTCAATCGATAAATCGAACATGAAACGTCTCTGGCCATGGAATTGGGCACATGGCGGGGATATCATCCCCATGTAGAGAAACTGAAGCCACGACATTACACCATCCCCCAACCAGCGGCCGAAGCTTACGGGAACCCTGCAAATTCTAGTTGTCCCGTTGGCCTCCCTCCAAAACCAGAAAAAAAACACCGGGTACCAACTCCAAAAAAAAACAGAGACACGCCCATATGCGACTTGGGAATTCGATCTGCCTCCGGAAATCTAAGGCTGGAGCTCGAGTCCGCAAGCATCGCTTGGAGCACAGAAGGGGACTAACTCAGACCGGATTCGAGGGACTTGCCGCTTCGGCAAATGTCATCACTTTTGGGAAATGCAGGACACCCAAAAGGGCACAAGGACCAAAAAAAGTGTTGCGCTAAGTCCTCAAGTCCGAGGACAAGTGGATTGGCCAAAAGAAGGCTGAACTTGCGACGTACAATCAATTGAAATGGTCGAAACCTCTAAAAGTGACTAAAGTCCAGGAACTCAGGGAGTCAGAGTCTGCCATTTGTAAAAAGCATATATGATAGATTCCCCCTAGAACCAACAGGGGATAATAGGAGCGGTTGGCGGGTTTGGCGCCCTGAGCCACCTGCAATCCCGTACTTCTCTTTGGGCCCGAGCGAGCCGACCTGAGACCCCCCGCTCTCGCTGCGTTGAGGGCGATGTCCTGGGAATACACGAAGGTCAGCTCCTGCAACGCGGGCTCCGGGCTCCGCGGGAGAGCCAAACCGAAGAAAGCGAACGCCAAGTGAGTCGTAGTCGAAACTTCGAGTATACTGCCGAAGCACTGGGAAGCGCTGGGGGTACCCTCCCACCAACTAACATGGAAGTGCAAAAAGTCGCTTTTCAAGAGGAAAGTAGTCTTTCTACAGGGGTCTGTGCACTTCCATGTTCGCTGGTGGGCGGGTAACCAAGAAATGTCCTTTTGGGTTTAAAGGGTGGTGCAGGTGAGTCATCAGAACCGATCGGTATTAAAATGGTCGGGACCCAGAACCATGCTTCAAGAATCACACAGGCTGTGAATGCACATGTTTTGGCGGATTTATCCCTGACTAACCTTCATCTACCTGGGTGTTGATTGTGGCTCAAGCGACACCTACTTCAACCCCGCATCCCGCGCTTAGATGGTCGACGGATTGCTAGGTGAGTCCTGGTGCTGCGGGTTTCAACCATCTAAGCAAGTCTCCGTTGGAGGGGGTTCTGCGTTGGAGGAGTCGTGACCCGTAAAAAAGTGACTTTAAACCCGAAGCATAAAATTAAATTTGCCCCAGGCGAGCTCTGTAAGAAGGCTCACCGTTCTGGATGCCAACACACAGACAGACAGACAAACAGAAAGACAGTCCAACAGACAGACAGACCAAACCGAACCGAACCGAACCGAACCGAGCCAAGCCAAACCGAACCGACCGACAAAAAAAAAACACACACACACACACAAACAGAAGAACGAACGAATGAGCGAACAAACAAAGAAAGAAACGACCCCCACCAAACCAAACCAAACCACACAAAACAAAGCAAAACCACACCAAACCAAAACAACCAACCAACAAACAAAGACATCTCAACCAACACACCAAAACAAGCAAACCGCACAAACACGCCCAGACACAAATAAAACAACACAAGCACAACACACAGACCACACCAAACACAAAACACAAAACACACACAAGACACGCAAAAACCAAAACACACACACACACAAGACGCGCAAAAACAACCGCAAGCAAACGGCGCCAGCTTGAGCTCCCGAGTAGCTTGGCAGGCAAGCCGAGTAGCTTGGACCACATCTTCCGGCAAGAGGCCAAGCGCTGGACGCTGCCCCGCGAAGTCCCACTGAGGCGCTCCGGGGAGCGCCCCCCTTGCAGCTTGGCTGCGTGACTTCGACGCCCCGGGCAGCTGTCAGGCGGCTAGCGCCCCCTTGCAGCTTGGAGGCTGCGCGTGACTTCGGGCGGCTGTTGCCCAGGTATGCCATGGCCGAAGCGAGCTGGCCCTAGTGGGAGGAGAGGAGGCGCAACAAACAAAACAACAAACAAACACGCAAGCAATCCCTGGTCCTCCAGCAGAGAGGTTAGAATAAGGGTATATTGTTCTTCGGTAATCTGTTTTAGTAGGGGAACCCTCCCCCCCAACAAGGGTAGGGCAATAGTCGGGACCTAGATAACAAGCATGCAAGCAAGCCCCAACACACGCCCAAAACCAAATCAAGCCAAGCCCAAACTAACAAGACGCAAACCTTCCAAATACGGTTAAGCTGCAAGTTGAGCTTTGTGTAAAAACTCGCGTAGCATGGAAACTAAACACGAGTGAGTGTAGAAGCCGCCCGCATGGGCCTTGGGTTTGTGTCCCTGAGTCCAGAAAACAAAATTACAGCATGTACGGGTGTGTCTTTCTTAGACCCGAAACATGGCGGTTTTCCTTTCGGCCAGACACCCCTTTGATTTTGGTTCATGCCCAGTCAGTCTCAAGATAAACAACTAGGTCTGGAGCAGACGCCACCAACCTCTACTATAACCCTCAAAAGAGAGACGTATGTTTCTGGTTCATGTTTAGTCAACCGCAAAATCAACAAATATGTCTGGAGGAAGGAGAAATTGGGTCTATAAACAAATATCCACTCTATGAGGTGTACCAGTCCACGGATCCTGATGCTGTTGCCAGTTGCCATCCCCCCCCTTTCCTATTCCATTTGATCCCGGTAGTAGTATGCATTCCAGAAAGCGTCGGGGGGGGGGGGTCCCATTTCTGGGAGGAAGGTGACCATGGAGGAAAAAAACCATGCCGTGTGTGGGTCGTTGACTTTCAGCGAAACCCCTCTCCCCCCCCAAAGAAAAAAAGAAAAAGAAATCGAAACAAGGGCGAGCAGTTGCCACATGGGAAAAAAGGGGCCACCTATTTCTTGCCTGTTTTTGTTGATTTTGTTGAGGGAAAGCTCCTCCCCCCCACCCAAAAAAAGCATGGAGAAAACCCCGAGAATCGCGGTATCATCGACCCATCGTGCCTCCAAAAGGGGGCAGAGGTCCCCAAAGTGCTGCCAGGCCTCAATGGTGCTCTCTCGGAAAGCGGCTGCTTTGGTCGGGCGACAATGCGTCCACAACAGTGACTGGATTCTTCTACATTCCTGTACATTGACAGTAATTGTTGTGTACTACACAGTTTCGTTGGGCCAAAGCAACCAATTTACAACGTGTGTGTGTGTGTGTGTTTTTCGGCTTCTTGAACCGCCTGGCCCTTTGCATTTTTTTTACAAGGTCTCACAGTTTTCGTGTTGTTGTCTCTTTTGCTGCTTGGGTTTTTGCGAGTAAGGTCCAAGTGCAGGTCCGTTATGAAAACCTGTTCGAAAGATTCCACCATTCGAGGAAACAAGCGTTACAGTCTGACAAAAACAAACGGAGGAAAACAGTTTTCTGGAAGTAAAATTTCGCTGGCGTCCCTTTGTGCGGTGTTGTCAAAGCACCCAAATTGAAAGGACCAACGCGAGGTAGGAGCGCACATCAGGCTGCCACAGCACCATCTGGATCACAAACTCATGGACCATGCCGTTTGCCATGTGCCACGTATCACTGACACGTGTCGCTGTCCCCATGACCATACCCAGGATGGGTCTGCGAAGTGCGTTTCAGCACCTCGTGCACTTGCTGCCGGCATGGTGGACCTCATGCAGCTACGACCAGCATAGGCCTCGCGCACTTTGCGCCACCCGGGGCATCGAAGCTCGCTGCGATGCGCTTGGCCCCTATGCTTTGGTCAGCTTGATTTCAAGGGAACTAGATCAAGCACAAAACTTGTTTGTGGGAGAAACCAAACGGAGCAAAACCTCATTCAAAACCTCATTGAAGTTGTTTTTTCCTGTTCCTTGTTTTGGGGGGGGGCTGTAGAAAGTATATGAGGTTTCCCACCCTGAGCCTCCATCCAAACCACCAATTCGATCGACCCAGGATCGGACAGGAGACTCGGCTGCTTAGATAGGGTGTTGTTTCAGGGAAAGGAACTCAGTTGATTGGCTCTCAAAAAGTGCTCAAGAAAGAGATGAGATGAGCACGATCCCTTTTCGCAGTGGCAAGGCTTCTCGATGGATCTGTTTCAGGTAGAGCAGCATGGCGCCCTGTCTAAACCGCGAGTCCGTGTCGAAACCCTCGACTTCGATGCCAACTTGTGGACACATGGAGAAGTCACTTCTCCGAATCCAACGCTTCCCAATGTGGAGACCCTGATATGTCTTCTCAAGATAGGGGCCCCATTCTGTTGTCTTCTGTTTAGATGTTTTCAAGAGAAAACCAAAGGATACCAACGAAGCTCCCCAAAAAAAGAGAAACCTCCATCCCGGCGCATTTGCAAGAAGTTCGAGACTTGATTCGAATTGGATTCCCAAATCATAAACCGACATAGTGAGCTCAATTTACCTCCCCGATCAGTGAGATCACCATTAAATAGGCAGACCCAAGCAAAAGTCAACCAACCTGGACCCCCATTTGGTTTGCTCTCGTTTTGGTACCTCTTTAAACCGACCAAACAAGGCACGCTCAAAGAAAAACATCACTCACTCACTCACTCACTCACTCACTGGCTCGCTCGCTCGCTCGCTCGCTCGCACGCACGCACGCACGCACGCACACACGCACGCGCGCACGCGCACACGCACACGCACACGCACACGCACACGCACACGCACACGCACACGCACGCACACACGCATACTCTCCCGTTTGCCTTTTCCTTTCAGCCCTGCCCGGCCAATTCAACTTGGGCTTCGCGCAGGCAGGAGCGGCACGTGCAGCGACAAGCGCTTCACCTTCAGGGCTATCTAGGCTCGCTGACCAGAAATGGGGGGTCATGGGTAAAAAATTCAGTGAGCATCCCAATCCAACCACTAAAATGAATTCATCAATCCCAACCAAAATGGGATCCCAAAACGGTTTTGACAACCACAACCACATGGTGTTCCGGAGTTATTCAGCTTCCTTGCCACTGGTGTCTGGTCTTTCGAAGACAATCTCACGGATCCCGGGCCTGTGAGTCGCCAGGTCATCTGGCGCACATGCCGCGCAAGTTGCCCAAAAAAACGTCGGAACAGCCAAAAGCCTCTGATTTCATGATTTTTTGCACGTCTTTGCGGTTTCGGTTTTGGCGGTTTGTGCTCTCTTTGTCGCTTCCCAAAACCCGAGACTCACCTACCTGAGCGCATTGGCCTGTGTCCCACGAAAATGCTCTTCCCACAAAGTCTTTTAAGTCCAGGGACTCCAGAAAAGGTGGTTGGGGCACCATTTGGGGCGAATTCGGTCGTGTGAGGTCGTTATGATCAGAGCATTTCCATGAAGGGGTCCCTGAAACCAATCGCGCCTGGGATGCCTTTGAGATTTTTTTTGGGGGGGACACTTCCCTTGTTTCGGGGCGTATCCGAGCCTAGCCCTCGTGGACCCCTTTTGAACATGAGAACGTGCTGGGTCCGAATTATTCCAGCAACATGTCCAGGCTTCCCCTCCGAACTTCCCGTTCTAAACATCCCCAAACGCAAATCTTGAGAACTACCCTCTTTACAACAATCATGGAAGTGCACAAAGGGGTTCCCCAAAAGGAAAATAGTCTTCCAAAGCTCTCCTGTCAAGTTCCATGATTGTTGGAGGGAGGGTACCGGGGACAAAACAACCGCCGCCGGCTGCTAGGAATGGCCCATGATACCGGAAGGCCTTCCCAGTGACGAAGGTGTTGCTCTCCCCTTTGGGTCTTTGGTTTGCCGGTATCATCAAAGTGGGAAACCCCTCATTCCCACAACCCTGGAACATGCAACCTCTTTCATAAGCCCTTCGCTAATACGGTTGGAGCCCTGTCAAAAGCTTGAACACCCAAGTGGTGTCCCTTTGGGGCCAATTTGGGGAAAGCGCCCCCTTCTTAGGTGTTCAAGCAACTTAGTAAACTAAGTTACAACCGTGGCTACAACTGGGGCAACTGGGGTTAATCTCCTTATAGCAATGGCGGTGACCTGCCAAGTAGCGTGAACACCCCGACAACGCACTCCGGCCTTTGGCAGCTTCTCGAGGGAAAGGACTGGATCCTCTGCCTGCGGATTGTGCTTAGTTCGCCAACCAAAGCGTGGTCTACGTTGCCATGGAACGCAACGCTTTGAGACCTCAGTAATACCAGTAATACATATTGCATATATATATATATATATGTTGTATACACATGTTTCTTTATTTGGCACCACACCCGCCAGGACATGTTAACATATCCTGATGGAACACAATACTCACTATCCTTGTATAACCTTACTTGGCACTAGCAGGTTCTCCTCCCTGGCAAGCAACCCCATCAGAAGATACTGTGGATGGACAAAATCTACGCAAAGCACCAGTTGGTCGCTTCTCAACCAGTATTCACTCGTATCTTTAACAGGCAGCCAATCCTCCTCAGATATTCCAGGGTTGTTCAGTGGTTCATTTGAGTGCCCACAGAAAAATGGAATCACTGGTCACTGGTCCTGGTACTTACACAAAAGCGTCTTTTCTTTGTGGATACTGTAAACAAAATTGATGGTCGATTTACTCCACCCAACATTCCAGATATCCAAAAAGACCAGAAACAATCCGGAAATGCACCCGAAATCCCCGAAATCCCCAAAATCCAAACAGAACTCCGTAAAAGCAGCACTGGAAATCAGCAGCCCCCCCCAACCCCAACTCCAACACCCAACTCCACCTCCCCTTTTCAGTTCCTCCCCCCTACTCATCAAATTGGCTTATCAACTAGGCTTGTCCAGGGAGAGCCCCCCCCCCCAAGCCCCAAGCCCCCCCCCCCCACCGCCATAGCCCCCCTTGAAGGTCCATGAATGGTGGTGGTTTGGGTCGGTGGATTGCATTCGGATTTGAACCCCTGGCTGTCCCCTGCCCCTTTTTTCCCGCCGAGCCATCCATTCGCCTCGTGGAGAAACTCCGTCCAGAGGTTCAGCTCCAACTCCTCCAGCTGCAAGCCTCGAGCCGAAGAGCGAGCAGCCAGCTGCCAGCCGGAGCCGAGACCCCGTGACTTTTGGTTCGTCATGTTATAAAGATGACCTTTACTTATGAACACTAATTTAAATAAACCTGGTCCAAAGGTGACAAGATGTAAAAAGGCAAACAAAACATCCAAAACATCTTTAGTAGCGCCAAAAAAGAAAAGGCACACAGCCACAACTGAAGCTCAACATGCAAAACATCCAGTAAGGAACATCCAGCAAAGCTCAACGTACAACACATCCAGAAGTAAAAGGTAATGATGCAAAGCATCCACAAGTAAAGGAAAGCAAAACGAAGCATTTGTTGGAGAGGGTACCCTTTTTGTGGTGCTTTAAAGGAAAGCCAAAGGGAAAACCGCCAATTTGTGGGTACCCTGAAAGAAAACACACACACACACACAAAGCTAGCCTGACCAATAGAAATCGGTGTGCGCTCAAATGCTGACTTCCAACCAGTTTGACCCCGGGGCGACAGGGGAAGCCAACAGTCGAGCACTGTTCGTGGATGGAACTCGGAAAGTCGAAGGGTTTTTGTATTACACCCTGGGAATACACCCAGGTAGTGACCCCATGTAGGCACATTTTCGGGATAAAACCCGGTGCGATTTTGAACCATTCGTCATTTATCTCAAGGGTGGAATCCCAGGTGTAATACAAAAAACCCTCAGAGAAACCCAACCACTAAGCCAAAGAAAGGCAACTCTAAACTTCAGGGACCGGACGGTTTGCATCCGATGTTGCGCACCCAAAAGGACGAGTTCAACCGTAGCCCCTCCTTGTTCCGCCCATTCAATCCTCGACTGGTGGTTTTTGTCCAAAACCCAGAGGGAAACAGCAGCTGCCCTCAAAATGGTCGTTTTCAGGGACCTGCATTGGAGGGTCATGAGCCCTAGGCTTTCAAAACAGAAAACCAAGGTTGGACAGAATGGCAACTCTCCCTTGACGAGTTGGCCCTGGCGCCCAGCTAAACAGACCAGCTCCACAGAAAAGCCCAAGCCAAGCCAGACTCTACCAACAAAAACTCGAAGCTCAAAGAGGGCTCTTCAAAACTGGGCTCAAAGTCGATGCTCGGCGAATCCGATGTCCATTTGCCAAAGGTCGAATCTTCGAGTCGCTCATGGACATCTACTGTGGGTGGACGGAATCCTGCACCACTTTGAAACCATGGGACGCCATTGTTTGTTGGCATTTACAGGGGAATCGTCATTCCAGGGTTTCTTAGGTGGTGCGAAATGGATTTTGTCCACCCACAGTATCTCAAACAACTTCCCGTCCGGCTTTTGCGCGGGGAGACCATTCCTCAGGAAGGTCGGTTTCAAGGGAGCCGACGGGTTGCCCGCAGAAGTAGGGCAGTACCCCAACATGGCAAGCCTTTCACGCCAAACATGTCACGCGACATGATCAACAGCTAGGCCCCTCCAACTGGCGACTCATACAAGCACGCAAGCAGAAACACAACACGGCCAGGAAAAAAAAGGGAAGCCAGCCAGCCAACAAGCAAGAAAGAAAGAAAGCAAGCAAGCAAGCAAGAAAGCAAACAGAAGAAACAAAAGCAAAAGCAAAACACATCACACCAAGGCAACACACAGAGAAATTCAAAACATAATCAAACACACAGCGCACGAATACAAGTAAAGAAAACAAAGTAAGTAAGTAAGTAAGTAAGTAAGTAAGTAAGCAAGCACGTAAAGAAAAGTAATACGAATACTTTAACAGCAAGTAAAGCAAGCAAACATATTTTGAGGTTTGGCCACCAGCTCACTCCGCATGGCTCTGGAGCTCTGGGGCGTCGTGCGATTCCTGTTGACCAGCGACAGGATCGCCTGATGAAAAACCCCGAGCCTCCCCGAAACGGACCCAAGCTAATCCCCAAAGTCGAAGACTTCCCCCACTGACCGGGTGACAGGCCAAACCCCAAAGAAGTATGACAGTTAAGCCGCATTTAGAGCTTGTTTGGCCCGTTTCGCCCTAATTTGCCATTGATGCTTGTCTTATCCGAAGGTCTGTCCGAAGGTCTGTCCGAAGGTCTGTTAGCCCCAATTGACCATTGATTTGTGACTTATCCTTGCGGGGTATGTTCCAAGGGTCTGGTGGTACAACCTTTGAAGGGGCGTATACGTATACATCCAACGATTTCTTGGTGACGCGGAAAACTCGAATGAACGACTTGAGCCTGTGGAGCCAATCATTTGGGTATAAGTCACCCGAAAACCACAGGTTTTAGTCTACCTTTCCATTTGCCAGGGTCCCATTTTGGGTACCTATTTTTGACCCACCATTTGCATGGACACCCAAGCTCGCCCTAGGTCCTGGACCCTGGTGGACGTGCGGGAGTCCCGGCCCCAAGGACTCCCCGATTTGCGCCGCACACAACTGGCTGTGGCTCAAAACCCCGAAACCAAAATGGCACCTTGGCAAATGGAACCAAAGAATAATAATTTGCGCAGCCCTAGCTCTTGAAAACTTTGCGCCGCACCCAAATGAGCCTCAAGGAGTTGGATGGAGGGTTTCAAGGCTTGGCGAGTTCCGGGAAACAAGTTCAGAAGTTGCGGAAGATTTGAGCATCAGGTTTGGTGGCTAACATCAAAACCACTTATATGGGAGAAAGACCTGCGCAAACAAGGAACCACCCAACAATTCCAATGCCTGGGCGTTCTAGTCATTTTACGGTAGAAGTAGGACGAAACAGGAAAGTAATACAATGACCAAAACACCCATTTGTTTCTAGTCGTTTGAAGCTGCAGGTACACATTTGAAGGGCACACACACAAATATGGTCAACAGAACGCTTTGGCGAGGTGCCAAGGAAGAACCTTCGGGGTCTTTTTTTGTTGGGGCCCGGACCTCATTGCATATGATTTGTGGGGTACCCTTGTTGGCAAAACACACAATTTTGGGGTCTCCCCATTTTGACGTATGTCGACTTTGGTTTTATAAACGGGTCCGGGAACAAAAAAGTCCATTTGCCTTTTCGCCCCCTGGAGAAAAGACACTGATATTTCCTATAGTGATAGATTCCAACTTGAAAACCAACAGGGGGAAATAACACATCTTCATTTCAGGAAATGGAGGATTGTTTTTTCTCTCAATTCCAAAGCTAATTCGACCCCTTCTAGCATCTTGGCCCCGCTCCGCGCGCGACTGTCTCTGCTGGCAGCACCCGAAGATGTGTAATTGCCTGGCGCAGGCCACTCTGGGCGCCTTCCATTTGGCTTGGTGTTCAGGGCTCCAAAGGGTACTCGGTTGCTTGCTGCTCCCCTGATAAAAGTTGAACTTTTAGTCGTTTCATGGAAATGAGTCGGCAAAAAGTTGAAGTCCTAACATCCCTTGGCAAAATGCCCCAAAGGGTAAGAGGATTATTCCTAAGGTTCACAAACTCCCTGGTGCACTTCGCGTGGTTAGGAAGCCAGGTAACCCACTTGCCATGTGATCGACGGGGAAGTTGGTCAAACCTTGCAAAGACCTTCGATTTGATGAGTCAAGGCCAATCAGCCCAAGCCCATGCCGGGGTCCCTGATCAGGTCCTCCAGATTTGAGAGGTTCCAATAAGTTGGCACCAACGTTTTTCTGGTTTGTCTATTTTAGTAGGGGAACCCTCCCAACCAAAAAGAAACGTGAGAAAGGGCACCTAGCTGGGGGACCTAGTCACTGCCAAGCGTTGCCCTTTTGGTTTGAAAGCCAGACCACAAAGACCCAAGACTTAGGTGCAGGCAAGGCCCAACAAGGCCTCTAATCTGGTGACCTGGACCTCCCTTGTGGTATCCTTTTCTACGCCTTTCTACACAAGTTTTGCGGGGTTTCTCAGCTGGGGGAACCCGTTCCAAAGACAAGGGTGCGCTCAATCTCCTCAAAGCGCTCATCCTATCCCCAGACCCCCAGTGGATTTTGTGGGGAACTCGTTTCTCTTGGGCGTTGATTTGGGTATGGGTCAGAATGAAACCACCAGGATATGGGTGACCGCAGGTTTTAGTCCATGTTTCCATCTACCAGGATTACTCCATTTTGACTCGCGCCCATGAACACAGGGAACTCCCACTCCAAAACAAGCAAGGAAACACACACCGGAGAGCTGGGTATCTGACACGGTAAAGATGGCGGATTGGCGTTTTGAAAAGGGATTGGACTGAAACGACGTGGGCGAGATGAGCTAAAGTCGGACAAGGACCCTTTTGCGCCGTGCACCTTCCAAAATTGGAGCACCAGTCCGTACATCTCCCGGTTCACATTTCGGAAGAAGTTCCACCGTGAAGCTATCTCTCCGGACAAATCTCTTGCCTTCTTTCAAGTTCTTATTCACAATTGTCCCAGGGAGCACCATCTTCATTCGATGCCCCTTTCACCGCAATGCTCTCTGCCTGGGTCGCGAGATCTCCTGCATCACGCATCTGTCGAAGACACTTGTCGCTTTCAACTGCTAGACCGCAATTTGCGCGTCTGCTTCGACATGTTGTTTTGCTGTCCATCCAGCGCAGTTGTGAAGACGGGGAACAGGGGGAGGCTAGGCCCACGATCCTTAAGCAAGAGCATTTTGCCTCTTTCAGAACAGGTAGACGTTTAGCTCAGTCATATTGAGTTTCTTTTGGCTTCCCGGTGACAAACACGAACACAGTGAAGGCGGGTACATTTTTGCAGGTGGGGTGAGGAACAAAAAAATGAGAACCAAAGCCACAGGTGCTCTTCTGTTACTGGGAAGGGGAAAAAGGCCGCCTTCTCACAAAGGCAATACCGTTGAGGAGTTTCTTTCATCCAAATGAGGTCCCAAGGCCAGTCTTTTGGGCTGTCTTCAGATCCCCTGCTACAAGTTGAGCAATTTGATGGCGTGAAATTGGGAAACCCAACCACTAAACCGAGTACAAACCACTAAAAACCTCACAGACCGAACGATTTGCTGGGAACCGCCACGTGTGGCTGGACTTGACCCCATGTTGCGCCGCCAAACCCGCCAAAACAGGCCTAAACACCTCACTCGCTGGGCGCCCCCGAGAGACTTCTCGCACTTTCCCCCTGCAAAGCACCGGAGTGAAACGCGGAAACCCAAAAAACCACTCCACCCCGCCAACCAAAAAACTTCCAAAACGAGCCTTTCAGCACCCAGAAAAAAAATCCGCTGGGAGCCGCTGGCCTGAGCTTGGGCATCCAAAGCGTGGGCAGCACCAGCTTCATGGCGCAGTCCTGACGTACCAGTCTCAGGGCTTGACGGCATCAGGCCAAGAAAGGGATCAACAAATGGGTTCCTTGCGCCTTGCATTCGGCCCTGTGTGGCGCTGCTGCTGTTTGTCAACACCTTCCTTGCGCAACAAGTTGCACCCCCGTTCTGTTGTCTTTTTTGTTTTGTGTGCTGTTTGTGTGTTTCAAGCATGTTTTTTTCCTGGTGTTTTTTTCTGTTATTTCTGTTTAATCTTTTGTCAGAGCCCCCAGAAACTGCTAGAAACGTTTTCATAACGGTAGGGGCTCCACAGGAACAAAGCTGCCCCGCGTGCCCCCGCCACGGCGGACACTTGACGCTTGGCGTTGACATTTGCAATGGAACATTATTCTATGATGGGGTTTGAAATTTGTGTAAGGCTTCCATGGCCAAACTCATCTCTTCTCCACGGCAATTCCCCGCATACGGCTCTCACGCGGCATCTTTCTTCACCACGGGCCCCAGCATCCCAGAAAAGCGGGTCCTCAAAGCCCATCACCTGACACGGGTCCGGATCAGGTGGGCCGCGAGCCTACGAATTTCCATCAAAACTCTTGAAAGAACTTGCCAAAATGGGTCGGAATGTGTCATAAGATCGAGGCAACCCCAAAACTGGGTGGCGCAAATGGAGGACAAACCTTAGCACAAACATTTGTAGAGAAACACCTATCCTATCCATCTATCTCAGCCTCGCCTTCCCAGTTGGGTGCTGTGGTGCTCCAAATGAACATTAGCCAGTGGTCCCTAGGGGAATTTCAATAAACCTTGAATACGCTTTCCCTCCCAAGCAGAATACGCTTGAGATCGCTTGAGCCTTGGCAGCCTGGGAGGAAGTGTTGTTGTTTGGGGCTCACATCTTACCTTGCGCCTTGCCTACTCTCTTAAGGTAGCCAATGGCGAGGTTCCACCGTGCATGATGCCATACGTGAGTCCGGCACCGTTTTGGGAGGCTTTCCGGCCTTAGACGTGGGCCAGGGTCATAGCAAACAATCTCTAAGGGGGCCGAACTTGTGTGTTTTGCTCTTGCGCGCGAAGAGAAATCTGCGGACGCCCGAAATATGAGTAGCTGCTGGGACTCTTAAACTTGCCGTACTTGACGGGGATGAGTGGTTGGATGCGGTTGGCGCACTTGCATGCATCATAGGATCGTACCCCTGCATCCACCTTTGGACAACCCTCCGGAAGGGCCCAGTGGCAAAATGACCGTAACGGTAGTCAGCTAAGACAAAGCAGGTTGCTGTAGAACCCAACATAAAATGTTTTTTGCAGCTCCACTTGGAGCCAGACGCTAGCCAATCGTGTTGGCAAGATGACGTGGGGGAACCTGAAGATCCTGCAGTTTGCGTGGGCTTTTTTGTGTGGCGTGCAGCTCAAAATGTCCGAAGGTTTTTTCTGGGTCTGACAGGCAGGCGGTTGAGTTACAGTAGCCATCATATCTGGATGTGGCTCAAAACAAAGTACATAAATGACGCCTTGTTAAATGGAACCAAAGACTAAAACCTGCGCAACCCTAGCTTTTACATGTTGAGCCACACCCAATTGTTTGGCCTCTCTGGCGAATATGTGTTTGCCAAATTCGTCCAGATGTTGTTTCCAGGTTTTGGTTTGCTTGCGTTTGACTGGCCTTCCAGCGCAACCCTCTGCCCAGCCAACCCCCTAATTAAACCCCCCCGCAACAGCCTCCAACAGCCACAAATCTCACGAAGCCCTGCCCCCAACCCCGCCGACCTTGGCAGGATAGAAAAATGGCTGAAAAGGGAAACCAACGGTTCAACCCAACACCAAACGAGAAAACCAGAAACTAAGTTTGGTGACTGACCCCGCTGCCAAAAGTTTAGCTTGTGGGTCCAATTCGGAAACAAACATCCTGTTTCAACCAAAAAGCTAAAGTCCGAAGATCCGCTATTAAACAGCCACAAAGAACCCACTGAAACTAAGGGATACTTGCTCTCTCTGACGTTGCCATGGCACCTGACAGGGTGGCCCCTTCAGGAAATTCTTCTTCCAGGTACTCTCCAGGTGCCTTCTGTTGGAGGGTGAAATGGTATACATCAAAACCCCGGAAACTGAGGTTCTGGCCGCAACACCATGCACGTGTTCGATGGGTGTTTGATGCAAAAGGGAATTACCCAAGCCCTGCATGGCCCAAATTTCCTCTGCATTGTGGTCAGCAGGGCGTGTCATTTTCTTGGGGGTGCCCCCTTTTTCGTGGTCTTCAAGGGAACTCCACCGCTTTTTTTTTGGTGGGGGGGGGGAGGGCGTACCCAGTCCGAGTCCTTAAAACAAACACGTCCCAGTCAGACGCGACTTCCTTCGAGCGGCAGCGGGTTCGCGGGTTCCGGCCGCCTTCAATGCCCGCAGGTTCACGAGGCATTTCCCCAGGCGCTGGGCGAAGCCGCGGAACCTGGGCGGGGCAGCGGCACGGCGCCAGGCGCGGAGTCGCGGAGTCGCGAGGAGTCGGAGGCCGTTTCCGTTTGGTGGTTGAAACTCTAAGAGACGTTTATGGCCACAGCTTTGGGGTGGGTAAAACCGCTTTTTGTTGTTCATGTTATGTTCATAGGCTGAAACTCTAAGAGATTCATAGGTGGCCTTCTGGAAAAATGGATGGGTTTCTCTGGTGGATGGAATAAATCAACCCCATCCAAACCAGAGCCCCTCTATTTTTCGAGCAAACCAACCACGAAGAGATCTTAATGACCACAAACTTGAGGTGGGTAAAACCTTTTTCTTGTTCATGTTATGCTCATGGTGCTCGTTTTCCTCGATTTGGGCTGGAGCTTGGAACCCGGCCATTGGCTCGTTTGCTCGTGGAATCTTTGCTCATTAGCAGCCAGTTAAACCATCTTGGGTCTTCAAGCTTCTTGGTGATTCACTGTCGAGTGGATGAGCAAAAAAAACAAGTCCAGGAAGCGATCTTCCAAAAGTACTATTAGTTCCCGCAACTCAGGAAGTGAGGTAAGTAGGTCACAAGCATGGCTATGAAGGGACAGCTCCAGCTATAACGAACTTAAGCTGATTGAGCATCCGAGATGGCTTAAACCACGATCTCCGAGATTGGCTCCGAATTGGTTTCGGAACAGAAACTTATGGTTCCGGAAGGGCTTGTTGAGGCTTGTTCCAACGGCCTCCTCTGGGCTTCACGGAACCAGGGTTTGATTGTTCAAAGAAATTCGGCTCTCTGGCAAAGGGTGTTTGAGGGTTGCAACGATACCTGTGCCGCCGATGTTTCGAACATGAAATTTAGGCGTTCCAAACCACAAAAACAACCAGAACAACAGAACATGAAAGTGGCTGTTGCAAAAACATCTCGTAAATGTCCATCCTTGGGAGGGCAATTTGGGGTGTCTCAGATCTTGGCCGCCGTCGACCCCTCTGCAAAAAAAGAGAAAACTTAAGTCCGAAGATCCGTTACCAACCAGCCATAAAGAGATAATGTCGACCCAGGATTAATAAACCCGTCCCATTATCACGGGGGTGTTCCCTCCACAAGTGATGAATCCCCACTAAAAGAGGACACCCCCCTATTAACCAACCAGTGGGTCATTCATCCGGGGTTAACATTACATAGCACTCCACACCGCCAAGCCGCGTCCGCCACGCGCGACTCGCTCGACCTCGGGCCCCCCGGCAGCGCCAGGTCGTAGCTCTGCCAACTCTCCCCGTAGCCCGGGTCGATGAGCGTGAGCTCCTTCAGCCGCGCGAAGAAGCTCCGCACCTCTCGGCGTCTTGTCGTTTTCGTCGCGTTCCCGGAGTGGACGGCCAGGAAGGCCGGAGGGGAAACAAATACGCGGCAGGTGGTGGGAACGAGTCCATGGAACGGGGTGAGTGGACGGGTCGAGTGGCAACGCAGCAGGTTTGTGAAAATCCTGGGAGTCCGGGACTGAAAGCCAGGTCCCCATCTGCTTTGGAAAAAAGAAAGCCATCGGAACCATCGGAACCATCTGCAGCCAGAAGCCTAAAACCGGCGTTGGAGTAAGGCTCGTTGGGAAGAAGTGGAACACCACCCCCCACTCAGATGGGACGCATCGCTCCCTCCAATCGTGGAAACTGACAGGAGGCTCTTTATTGTCGACTGTTGGGAAGCCCAAAACGTCCACTTCCATCGGAAAGAGGGTTAATGGTTAGTACCTCGCCTCCCACCCAGGGAATCAGGACTAACCATGGGTCTGTTCAGCAGATCATGCTGTCAATATACTTGCTTTAATTTCACAATTTTCATTCGGAAACATGGAAGTAGATGTCACAAACAAATCTGTCTGTTACATCTGATGTATCCAACATATCCACGCACGGACATACTCAGACGCATGACTAGGTATACTGATTAGATATACCTGAATATATCTAGACACATGCCTAGATATCCAGGCACATGCACAAACATAATCAAACATATGCCTAGATATACCCGGATATGTCTGAATATTTCTAGACACACTGTCTACACATGTAGTACTCTGTGTGACATGTTTGTTTGGGTACTGTAGTTTGTAGACAAACACACGGAGTCTTCACCTCTGACTTATATTGAAGAACAAGTAGGCAAGATGCCAAGTCTCAGAAGATCTAGGTGCCAACACCCCCAGAACTGGAAGGCCTGCTTCTGGCAGGAGTTGGCAGTTTGGCCCCCAAGACCTCCAAACTATTGGGAGGGGGTGCTCTTTGGGCAACCTTGGCCTCAAGTCGTGTGGCTTGATTTCCTCTTCGCTTCAACTTGTCTGGCCAAACAAGTCATATGCAGTAGCCTCCCGCCAATTAACACGGAACCTGACAGAGGAAAACGGTCCAAACCAGGACCCCCTGAAAGGTCAGCTTCCATGTGAGAAACTTGGTGGGAGGGTAAGTCGCTTTCCCCTGGAGTGGGTGTTTTGGCAGTTGCCGCGGGAAAGCCACAGACTTAAGATGCGTGCCAACTGTAAGGTTCTTTCTGGGGACTCTTGCCGTAACCGCTTCCTATCACTTGCTGGTGGGATTGCTAAAGAAATGACCGAGTCCGGGTGTTGGGAATGAAGCGGCTTTGGGGATTCCCGAATTCAGGAAATCATAGGGGGCGGTTCTTGGTCGGGCTTCCAAGTATCATTCACTGCTGTTCGAACCAGAAAGATACAAGGCCCCCCCAAATGATAACAGGTCATCTTTGCAAAGGTCGATATCCCTCAATACTAAGCCCAAATATGACTAATACCAAGCGTCCAGGTCCAACCCCACTCGTATATTAGGGCACATTTGAAGCCAAAAAAGCAAGTCCAAAAAAGCAAAGCAAACGCATCCTTGATCCTATCTAAATGCCTATTCAACCAAGCATTCTGGATAGTTGTCTCCTTTTGGTAGATCTCCATACATTTCCAAGGCACCCCGTTCTTGACTCCAAGCCCTCTCTCCCCCCCAATAATACAGCATATTCTTCCCCGGGTGCTTCTGTTTTATTCGGTCATGTATGCCATATTTGTTAGCATACCTGGTCCGTTTCGTTTCCCAGTCAAGCCAGCCTGAGGGTTAGCCGAAAAACACGCACGCTCGGGGAAAGCTTTGGAAACCTGCTTGTTTCAGAAAAATGAGGCTAAACAAGGACACACAAGATCTCAATCTGTAAATCATGTGTGTTTCCTAGGGGTTTTCCTTTTAGGGGTGATCCCTACTTTGTCAATCAGGCAGTGGAACAAGGACGACCCCGACCGAGTTTGGGGGGGTACCCTACTATTCAAACACACCCCAGATCTGACTTTAGAGGGACATCCTGCTCACTCAACAAAGGCAACGCAATTCTAACCCAAAGGAACACACATAAGAACTGTTTTGTTAAAAAAGAAAAGAAAAAACAAGTAACACACCCACGCAGAGAAACACACGGTATATATACGAAGCGAAAGCCCACCACGAAACCGGGCCAACCCCAAATGCTCGCTGGGGAGCGAGCGAGCCCCTGGACAACCTGCAGCCAAGGCACCGGGGACGCGCGCAGGGCCGTCTCGTAGGCCTCGACGCACCGAGTGCGCGGCCAGGTGATGGTGATGGAGGAACCCCTTGCATAGCTGACCTTCTCGAAAAAAGCTGGCCCCAAAGCAAATGGAACAAACCCCATCTAAACCGGCGCCATCCATTTCTAACCAAACCAACCGATGGAGGAACCCCTTGCATAGGCCAGCTTTACTTTGGAAAGAAGATGGCCCTGATAAATGGAACAAAACCCTAACTTTGAGCCAGTGACCCCGTGCTTTTGATTTGAAAGGGAACCTTCTCCAAAACGACAAGGACGAGCAAGGGGCACCACGGAATGTGGGCAACTCTACGGCGAGTAACAAGTAGGTACAGATTGTATGGGTGTGTTTTCTTTGAGGGTACCTTCTTTTGGGTGGTTTGAAAGGGAAACCAAAACGAAGCTGCCATTTAGCGGGCCCCCTAAGAAAAGACACAACCATGTGCGGTGTCCGCAGAGAGTGACTGGGCCACAAGCGCGGATCCATGTCACTTAAAATGGGGGTGTTCCCTCCAAAAGTGATTCCCCACTAAACCCCGGAGACACCCCCTATTACAAAACAGAGGGTTGCTTCAGATGGGGGCAACATGATGTGTAAGCCGTCATGGATCCTATTATAGGAAGCATCGTGCCGGTTGTCAAGAGGTTGTTTGACGCTAGCACAATGTGGTAGGTGCAAGGCAAAGGGTCAGGTGTTCCAACGGAGCATTCCAAAGTGATATGAGAAACAGAGCGAACTTCCTCCACAAAACGGTTCAATTACCGGTCGGTTCCTGCACTTTTGTGGCAGGTATGTCCAGCATGTGTTCAAATATCTCCCTCGAGACTGACTCCTGTATTCTCCAGGATGCTCGGGTCGTAAACCGCTCGACACGCGGGTCCCATGCAATCATCCCTTCATTCACGGAACTCCTGCCACATTTTCCTCTTCCACATCCATCGGAAATGTGTGCCTTTCTTGCGAAGCTCCTAATGTAGCCAACCGACGCAAACTGACCGGCCAGGAAGCAAACCCTGAAAACGTCAACTACCTGAACTACCTGGAGTCTCCATGACCCTTTAAGAATGGGTCCATGACCCCATTTTTTGGGGTAATGACCCCATTATTAAAGGGTCATGGAGACTCCAGGTAGGGGTACAGTCAAACAACTTATTTCCCGAGTTTGTTAAGAAAAAGAAGCTAACTTTTGATGCGCTGCTCAAGATGGAGCGCTGCCCAAGCCTAATCCAGAATCCCACCAGCGGAGAAACTGCGACGTGCCTAACCTAGGTCCTCCAGTAGAGAGGCTAGAATAAGGGTACACCTTTTTTCTGTAGTCTATTTTAGTAGGGGACGCCTTCCCCAACAAAGGGTAAAAGGGCACTACTGGGGGACCTAGTAACCCATGGATCTGGCGGACTGCCTGTGAACAGGCCAGACTTTCGGAACTCCACCCTGGCCTTGAAAGAGAAGCTCAGTCAGACATATTCGAATCCCCAGGTGATTAAAACAACAAATCTCGGGTTTGGAACGGGGTCATGGGGACCGGTCACGGGGACCAACCCTCAAATGGCTCAGATCTTGGTGTATACCTGTACATGGAGTCGAATCCCTTGAACGTTGCGTGGAACCTTCACTTCTTGCTCGGGCTCCCCTCTTCAAATGGACCCGTCGCCATCGGTCGCACCTCGGCCGCCCGCTCAGTCAGCTCGGGCAGGCAGAAGGGAAAAGGCCTCAGCCCAACAGATTGGTGTCTATATTTATGGGAGTTTCCCAAAATAGGATTCGGACCCCCTAGATATGAAGCCGTCGTGTGACCTCAGACTGCAGGGTGAGGTCAATGCAAGAAACACGTTGGGTCCTCCAGTAGAGAGGTTAGAATAAGGGTACCAACTTTTTTCTGTAGTCTATTTTAGTAGGGGAACCCTCCCCCAAAAAATGCTAAAAGGCACTACTGGGGGACCTAGCATGGCAGGGAGGGCAGCAGCATTTCAAACCCTGAGTCGGCAGTTGCTGGGAGTTGTCATTGTCGGGCCCATTTAGTCCAAACCTCGCGAGAAATGGACGAATTGAGCTCCTTTTTGAGAGGGTTTCCACCCTCCAACTGCCAAAAAGAGAAAACGCGGTGTGTATATGCCATTTATAGGGCTGTGCAAGTAGTGGCTGTACTCACCTCCTCAGTGGATAAGCAAGTCCGAACTTTCTATTTACCACCTAAAGTCCAGGCACTCAGGAAGTGGCCGTATGCGCCCCCAAACTCCTCGCGTGATGGTCATTCCCTGAAAAGGAACCCGTACACTTGGCTGGAATTAGGACCCCAGCAAAAGATATGTTTTTTGCCTCGTTAGTTGAAAACAAACGGAACCCCAAAAAAGCAAAAAAACAAAAGGAAATAAATCTGGGGAAGTACATTGGTTCAAAACACAAACCCAAAGGTCCATGAGTATCCCTGTGCCAAAGGATCCGGTCTTTTGACCAGATGGTTTCAAGGCTATTCCACGGACCTCATCGGAGGGATAGAAATTCGGCGCGTGGCAATAATCAGAACTTTGGCAGGGATTCGCGAGGTAACTTCAAAGGGACTGAGTTACAAGCTTGTGTCGTTGTCAAACCAGGGAGACCGCCAACATGGTAGTTTGTCCTCCTGAGTTGCTCTCTAAATGAACTTTTCAAAGGGCACCCGACCGACTACCTCCTTAAGTCTCCAGGATAACATGAAAATATGTCCAGTAGTGAAAACCAACAGGGGACAACAACAAATCTTCATTTCGGCAAACGGAAGCAATTCGTCCTGACCAACTGCATCTAAACCAACCTCTACAAGGATACCCCCGCCCAAAAAAAATAATAATCTGCAAATGGAAGCCTAAAGCCCCAGGCCCGAGGCGATGCCCCCACAAAGAGTCGCCCCCCCCAAAAAAAAAGAAATATATCAGCCAATGGAAGCTCAAGGCCCGAGGCCCCAAAAGAAAAGCAGCAAATGGAAGCCCAAAGGCCCTCGGCCATGCGCCCCCAAAAAAGAGTCGCAACTTTGAAGCCCCGGAAAATTTCAAGTCGGGAAGCACATTGGCCTCGAGCAGCAAGCGCGTGACTTGGCCTGCCAAGTCGACCACTTTCCCAATGATGCCAGCCCAAATGTCAGATGGCTGTGGCTCAAAAAACCTTTGTACCAAAATGGCTTGCCCTGGTAAGTGGCAACATGGACCAACACCTGCGGTTGGCAAACCTCCTGCTTGATTTTGAGCCACACCAAAAATCATATCTGGGCCTCATCCAAAAATCATGTTGTAACATAAACCAAATATGAGTTTTGTGTGTGTGGTAAAGAATCAACGGCATGTTGGTATCCGGAACAATTCGGTTTGACCTTATCCGTGTTTATAGTAACAACGTGGCCAAAAAACCCACGCAGGGTTCTCGGAATCTCCCTCAAACGCAAACATTCGGCTGGCAAGGGTAAAAGCCCGTTTCTGAAGTGACCTTGTTGCCGAAGCAGCCTTGAGGTGCCAAAACAACATCGAAACAGCCCTAAGCGCAAATCTGGCAGCTCGGGACCCGACAACAGTCACACGTGTTTTCTTCGCCGCCGTGACACTTCTCCCAATGTTCGGACCACAGGAAGGTATCAATTGCAAACCAACCCCGCAGCTCGCGATACGACTTTGCCAAGTTGCCACAACCAACATTTTGGCCGTCGAACATGAAGAGCTGCAGCGATTTTCAAAATGGTGCCGGGCGCAAAACCACAGACGCCGAAATGAAAAACAAAACACCTTTTCAACCACACGAACGGGGTAGCAACTCCAGTTCCTTTCAATCCAATCTACAAAACTGTCCAACCAAGCATCTTCACAAGCAGATTGTTCTTTGCACATCTCCCATCCGCCGAAAGTGAACAGAGCCGGAGACCAAAAAAACTCGCCAAGCTCGCCAAGAGCGACCCTTTGAAGGCCACTTTTCCCCCCACAAGGCACGAGATGCTATCCGTGGGAAGGCTTGAAGTGGATTCATCTAGCATCCTCAAAAGTGGAACATGGAGCCAGAAAGTGGGGGCGACCGACACGATTTTTGGAGTTTTCGCCCACTTTAACTCAACCGTGCTCAAAAACAGCCAAAAGCTCATCCACATGAGCCACGGTCCAGATTACTCGCTTCTCGTGAGTCTACTAGTGGCTTTGTGAAAATGTGTGCGACTTCGCCGCACGTCTCCCCCTTTTTCTAGAATACTCTTTTGGGTTGGTTTTAAAGGGCAACGAAAAGGAAACCAACCATTTTGGTTTGTTCCCTAAACAAAGACACACGCAAATGGCCATGGGTCAAAATCCCGTACCCCCAGTGAACATCCCAATCCCAACTAAAATAGACCAAAATGGGTGGTGCATTCACCTACCCCAAATGGTACCATTGGTTTTGACCCACACCCAAACGGACCACAGACTGGTCCTTTTCACCGCTCGCACCAGGCTAATTCCCGCTGCCTCGCGTGGTTTCCTTCACGTTGTGGGGGCTCCGCGCGGAGTGGCATCGCACCTCGAGAACGAGGAGCCCGGCGAAGTTCGATGGGGGAAAGGCACGGCTCACACGTCATGATTGGAGCTCGGCCCGTTTGCTTCACTTTGGGCAACGCTGCATTTTGAGCACCTCCTCAAAGCTTGACTTCTTTTTTTCGGCAAGCTCTGGAAGTGAGTTGGCTGTGGCTCAAAACCGTTTTAGGATCCCATTTTGGGGGATTGGTGCCATTTTAGAACCTATTTTCGTGGGGATTGGGATGTTCACTTGGGGTACCGATTTTGACCCATGGCCAAATGGGTGTGTCCGATTTTGGTGGAACTGTATTTTGGGTTGGTTAACAGAGACGCCTTGATTGGAAACTTTCCAATTTTGGTGGAACTGTTGTTTGGGTTGGTTTAAAAGAGACGCCTTCAATGGAAACTTTCCAATTTTGGTGGAGGCCTCAGATAGAAACCAACCGTTTTGGATCCCCGGTTATTTTTTCAAACAACTCCAATCACAAGAGCAGTCAATACTAAACATCAATTACTGCTATCTGACGTCGGCACCGCCACATTCACTCAACTGTTCACTTCATGGATGTGTTTCAAGGTTGCTGGTTGTTTTGGCTGGTTGATGTTGAAGCAACGCCAAGAAACAAAAACTCAAACATCGGGATCCTCCGCTTTTTCGTCGCCCAACCAAAAACTCCGCCCAAGCCACCGGGCCACATGGAAGAGAGCGCACTGTGCTGCCCAAGCCACCTGGCCACTTGGAGATGACGCGCAGTTGAGCCACTCTCATGAGTTGCAATATTTCCATAACCACTGCAAGGTTGAATTGGCAGTGGGTTAAAAATAGGTGCCCAAAATGGGTTACCCTGGAAACATGGACTAAAACCAGCGGTCCATATCCTGATGGTTTAATTTTGACCCATCTCCAATTGAGTCACTTGCTCAAAACCCTTTGTATTAAAATGGTCGACCCAGAACCATGCAAAGAATTAAGAAGGAGGATATCCGCAGCTATTTATGGTTGGGATTGTCCATTACTTCCCTTCATCTACACAGGTTTTGATTGTGGCTCAGTTGAACTCTACCAAAGACCAGATCCAAATAAGCTTCTTTGGGCTTGCGTGGGAGTATCTGGGCTTGCTTGGCCATATTGAGGAGTTCTTTTTTGCCTCGCTGCCTTCTTTGGCTTGGTCACTGAACTAACTTCATGAATGGGGAAGCCTTGAACAAACATATCTACGTCCTCCAGTAGAGAGCTTAGAATAAGGGTACCAACTTTTTTTCTGTAGTCTATTTTAGTAGGGGAACCCTGCCCCAAAACAGAAACGGCAAAACGGCACTACTGGGGGACCTAGCTGGGGTCTGCAACATAGACGGATGTGTGGTGAGCTTTCACCTGGCGGAGCTGTAGAGAGGCATGGATACCAGGTACGTAAACAGTAGGCAAGCAGCCAGTTGTCTCTTGGTGTTTAAAGGTTGGTTCCAGTGGTTGCCTATCTCTGGGTGAGGCATGTCATTTTGACAAGCTTCGAAGCAGGGGGCGTTGCGTTTGGCATACCATTCCTTGTTGGAGAATCCTTTGAATGCGGACCCTGCCTCCCCTCCCCCTTCCTCCGGAGCCAAGGTCAAAACAAGTTTAGACTCAAAACCATTAAGCGACGAGAGAGTTCCATTCCCTGAATTTGGCAAGTGAACACAGGCGTGTTTCATCCCAAGCTCAAGTTGACCATGGCTACACAGGCTTGTTTGACCACAAAGCAGACATAGACACCCAGTTGCCCTGGGAGCAAATAAAAACTGTGTTCCTCTTTGTGGAATGGCGTCCTCTTAAAGTTAATCAACGGCGCTAAATTATTGCCACTATTGCTATTATTCCACACATATCATGATCACGTTCATTGACTACCATTGTTATGGCGATGGCAATTATCACTAAGACTAGCATTGTTGCTGCACGTAGTAGTAGTAGTAGTAGTAGTAGTAGTAGTAGAAGTCGTAGTAGTAGTAGTAGTAGAAGTAGGAGTAGTAGTAGTAGTAGTAGAAGTAGTAGTAGTAAGTAGTAGTAGTAGTAGTAGTAGTAGTAGTAGTAGTAGTAGTAGTAGTAGTAGTAGTAGTAGTAGTAGTAGTAGTAGAAGTAGTAGTAGTAGTAGTAGTAGTCGTCGTAGTAGTAGTAGTAGTAGTAGTAGCAGGAGTAGTAGTAGTAGTCGTAGTGGTAGTCGTAGTCGTAGTGGTTGTGGTTGTGGTGATAGTAGTAGTAGTAGGAGGAATATTAGTAGTAGTAGTAGTGGTAGCAATAGGAGTAGTAGTAGTAGCAGCAGCCTCTGTAGCAGTAGTAGCCGTAGCAGTAGCAGTAGTAGTAGCAGCAGCCTCTGTAGCAGTAGTAGCCGTAGCAGTAGCAGTAGTAGTAGCAGCAGCAGTAGGAGTAGCAGAAGAATAAGTAGTAGTAGCAGCAGCAGTAGCAGGAGTAGCAGGGGTAGTAGCGGCAGCAGTAGCAGGACGAGCAGAAACAGCAGGAGCAGCAGCAGGAGCAGCAGCAGGAGCAGCAAGAATAGCAGGAGTAGCAGGAGTAGCAGCAGTAGCAGCGGTAGCAGGAGTAGCGGGAGGCAGTAGTAGCAATAGCAACAGCAGTAGTAGCAGCAGTACTTTTATTATTCATTTTGTCATACTACGTTTGAATTGTCATGATTATGAGTCGTGGATTTGGAAAATGCTAGCTTTTGCAAAAACAAACAAACATTTTGTTGTTGTCATACTTATGTTAATTCCCTCTCAAATATCGTTATTACTATCTTACCTATCATGGATTTAAATGCCGGTAATACCTGACTGGCGCACGGAACACGCCAAAAACTGGCTCGGTTGCTCCTTGTTGTGGTAAAGAAGATAACTCCTGCTCAACCTTTCGACTCCCAATCAAAAACTGGTAAAATGGTGTACCCAAACCAATGCCAACTACAAAGGCGGCCGCGACTACATCTGGTTGGGCACTTGCCCGGGCTTTGACTATGGCTGATGTGAGCATGATTAGAGTTCGGCCCAGTTATAGAATGTATATTTCATTGTTTGCTTCACATGGAGTCACTGGTAAAATGTAACATGTATCCTAAGTCTACCCCAGTGAAGTTTATTGCTTCACCTCTCCTCATCTCCCGTAGCGAGTCGCCTCGGGCTCGGAGCGCAGGGCGCTGAGCAAACCCTCCAGGGCTGTGGCCACCGGCACCAGGTCCTGCGGAAACACCAAAAAGGGAAGCGCAGGAGAAACGTGGCAGGTGGAACTCATCACTTGCGATCGGTGCAATAGGGGAATGAGGAATGGAATGCACCCAGAAAGGAAATTACCAGTGGGATGGTTTTTCTTGGGGAAATTTCTCTGAGAACCAGCTGAGAACCACGGTTTTCACGTGGCACCTGACGTTTTTTGGACCCGGACCTTTTCAAACGAAAATGGGGAAATGGAAGATCTGTCAGGTTCCATGTTGCTTGGTGGGAGGGTAAGTAGTAACTTGATGGTGCCATAGGGAACACCTCTTGTGAATCAATCGGTGGAAACGATTGGAAATCAAAGGGACAATACACAAAAAAGGAAATGCTGGGACACGGTTGACGAGTTTTTGAGCCTTCAGCCTTTCTGCGTGTGGTCGGTGGGATTTGGCCCTTGGCTTTTGATTGAGGGGGTTCATTGTGGAAAAAGAAGGATGCTTCGAAAAAGTTGCTAGCGAGATTTGGCCAGAACAATCATTGAAAGCCTCCCAAGTTGGTGAAGATGCGCTCATTGGCTTCTGGTAAATGGCCGTCCCCTTCTCATTTGCTCATCCCCGACTGAAAAGCATCCAGTTACAGAATCCAGGCGAATGAGTCTGGTTGAAACAAAAGGAGGCATAAAAAGAAATCGGGGCGCGCCGGCCGCCCCACAGGGCCCCCCCTAAAATCTACCGGTGCATAGCCAATGTCGCCAGAGATCTGCCCGGTTGTGCCCTTACAGCTGAGTCCCTGTTCGTCCCTGGTTTTCAGGCCCCGCCGTCATCGCCACGCAGCACGAGCGCCATGAGCGGCTGTTGCCAGGCTGTTGCTGCTGTTGCTGCTGCTCCGTCAAAGAGCGAAATCATCAGACTGGACCCTCCCGCAACAGCAGAATGTCATTGTCGTTCACTTCCGCCCAAAATCGCCCATCAAATCGGGCACCTTCCCCAGCTGGCGGTTGTTTTCTTGCCGAGCCAGCAGCCGAGTTCACTCCTTACGTTGGGTGCATGCCATGACCCCTCTGTAACCAAGGAACTTCCCGTCTCACAGAAAGTGAACCCAGCCCCCCAACCATGCTGAATGAACATGTTAGATGCAACCCACCCCTCCCTTCCCCCTGATGTTCCTTAATTAAGGCCACAACAAGCCCCAAAACCATTGTTTCCACCACCACGCCACTCAAACTGAATAGTTTGGACACTGGTCTTCTAGTCGGTACTGGCATTGTAGGCTTCTTGTCCGCAAAATAGGCCCTACTTATCCATGGCACCAACCCCCCCCCTGCCCGCAAATGGGCCATGTTGACCCCGGATGAATAAACCCCAGTTTATGAATAGGGGGCCACTAAACTCGGCTACTTTCTGATCCCCTGCAGAAAGCTTAACTTTTAGTGGTTTAAATGAAAAACCTATTAGTCGGCAAAAAGTTAAAGACCCAACATCCCTTGGCAAAATGCACCAAAGTAAACCAAGGAAGAAACAAAAACAGGTAGACCCAGGGACACCCAAAAAAAACACTAAAACAAATCCGCCGGGCATCGTGGGCCGGCTGTCCTTGTTGGTGGCGTGCGGCCACCGCAGCCACCTCTTCAAGTCGGAGGCACCGGAGGAATTCGGGGGCTCGGCACTTCCACCGCCGAAGCAACTGCAGGGAACCAGGCTGAACCTGTTTTGCTTTTTCCTTCCCTTTTTTTTGGCTCTGGCATTTCGAAGAAATCAGGGGAGGCCACAAAAAGCACAGTGAAATTCGGGACCCGCTGTCGTACATTTAATGAGGCAGGTTTTGGACTGCCTTTGCATTTGCAAGTGGCTTGTTTGTGTGTTCCGCATTAGTTTCAGCTTCTCTCATTGTGTCATTTGGCGGTTTGGTGGTTTGGGGGCTGGTTCCTCAATTCACCCTGGGCCCAAGAAACAGGGGTTGAAATTACGAACCTATTTCCAACCACCTGAGGGTTTCCTGAAAGAGTCAGACTTCCGGGCTGTGTGTTTCATATTCAGCCTCCGCACAAAAATATAACCATTGGAGGAGACCTGGTTTGTTTGTCCAACCCACCACCTGCTTTTTTCACTCTACTTGCCTGGAGACAAGAAGCCAAAACTCAAGAGTTGGGGGGGTCGGAAAAAGCAATCATGGAAAGCCCAGCCCGGGCCAGGGTCAGGAGTCAGGAGAACCACGTGAAGGGCACGTGTTCTTTGGGTTGACATGAGTCGTGAAATGAGGTGATCAAGAGAGTGGTCCTGGATCGACTAAAAGAATAGTAGTACCCGAGTTGAATACCACCCAAGATTAACCCGTTGAGGAAAGGGTTTTTGGCAGGCTTCAGGCGCATCCCGGATGAATCATTGTGGAGTGCACTCCATTTTAGAGGAAAACCTTGAACTTTGAACACACCCTTCCACTAATCCTCCAGGTTTGCTAGTCTGAGGTTTACATAAGTCATCAACGTGAAAACCATCCGCCTTCAGCCCCCTGAAAAACATGATAACATATGTCCAATAGTGGGAGATTCCAACTTTAAAACCATCAGGGGAACAAAACACATTCATATATTGAATCTACCCTAAAATCTAACATTGGGATCGGAGAAAGAGAATTGGACTGCACTGACCCGTGGTTTCCCCTTATCGCAAGCTGCAGATACTGCTCACCAACAAAAAACATGGTTCTGGGAAATCCGTTCTATGCTAGATAACATGTCCAGCTGATTCCAATTTTAACAAAACAGGGGAAACTGAGAATGATTATTCATGTCGGCAAACGGCTATGAATTGTCTCGGGGAACCTAAAAAGTGACTGCTGGACATGAATCCCCAATGAATTTTGATGTCCAAGGCTCCAAATGATGGGCATTCCCAGCCAAACGTCCCCCCCTCGCGCGCCCGGAAACCAAAAAAAACACACACACATACAACATGTGTATGGCAGTGGCTCAACAAACCGGTACCAAAACGGAACCCTGGTAAGTGGAAACATGGACCAAAACCCGCGTAACCCAAGCTCTTTAATTTTGAGCCACACCCATATATATATATATGTATGTATGTATTTATATTTAAAGAAAAACAACACTTTTCGCCTGCTGAGCTTCTTCACGGCATTCACGCGGCCGCGCACGGAGGCGCGCTCGCCTGGCGGGTTACCCATGGTCTGACGCGGCGTCTGAAGCTTTGAAGTGGCGGGGAAGCTGCCCGCATGTTTTTTAGGGGGGCTCTGGGGGGCCTTGGTGGGGGGGGGTGGGGGGGTTCGGGGGTGGGGGGGGCCTCTTGGGGGGGATGCCGTGGGGGGGGGCCAAAATCTGATTTGGGCTCCCCACCCCTCCCTCTTGCGTCTGGACATGTTTTGAAGCAAAATACGATAACCCCTGGTATGGGCTTGCAACAAACTTGTGTTTGTTGCAAGCCCGCACCAAAAATGAACAGACCCCGGAAACCTAAAAACCAAAGCACACGCCAACAACAGTCAAGATGCCGTCCCCAATTTTGGGCCTGGACAGATCTAAACCTGTGATGTGGTTCCATTGCTTCCCCATTACCACTTCAAGAGGCAAGTTACTTGAAGTTGGTCCGAGGGTGACTTGGTGCCAAATAGGTCTGAACGGATCGATTACTCATTCTTTTCTGGGCTGTCCTCAGATCCCCTGATAAAGGTTGCCAAAACCTAAAAACTAAAAACCTAAGGGGATGGCTGGGAGCCACCAAGTTTTGGTTTCAAACTCTCTTTGGTTTCCTGGGAACACCGAACGCTGCTATTTGGCACGCTTCGCGGAACTGGAGAAGGGATGCACGCAAGAGAACGGGGCGCTTTTGGCGGAAATCCTAGGAAACCTTAAAGAGAGGGAAAGGGGCGCCTTGCCAAGAATGAAAACAACTCCGAAGAAGAAAAAAAAATCCGTTGGCCAAAGCCAAAAGGAAGCGGACGTGGGAGGGACAACCCCGAGGGAGTTTTGGCCAGCAGCCCCGTGGCTCAAGGGGGCTCCATCTGAGATGGGATCAAGAATTAGCCAAGGCCGGCATAGTGTCCGGGTCATCTCCCATCGGCGTTTTCGGGGCGGGGGGAAAAAAACGTGTCCAGTAGGAATCGATTCCCTTCAAAACCAGCAGGGAGAAATAAAGCCTTGGGCAAATGCAAGTGATGGGACTCCGGATTCACAATCCCTGATTGATCAATCCCCTTTTCGTGGGGGGAGCACCCCCCGGTAGCAACAGGACGAGTAATGAAAACCGGGTCAACATTCGGCCTTAACAACAACACGCTGAGCATGAGTGACCCGGGTTGTAAACATGGCGACCGAAGTGGTCCATTGACTGGCCCACGCCACCCCTTGTGCCGTGGATCATGCCGGGTCGGGAGTGGCCCGCAGCCTGGCCACTAAGCTCTGCCTGGTTCCAAGCTACCCTCCCGCCGCTTCCGTGTCCGTCCAAGCGCCTCAATGGCCCTCAGTTCGGCCGTGTTATTGGTGGCCTTGTCCGCCCCCAAGAAACCGTGGCTCGTGGCATCGGTCATCACTGGTCCGTGGTAGTTCAGCGACCGCTTGTTCCCTGTCAGGCCTCGCTCTCATCCTAGCTTCCAGCATTTGTCTCCCTTACCAGCGAAGCTTCCGACTGGGTGATCTCCCCCTCTGCTTTCTTCAATCCACTGGTAAGATTCAACTGCCACTTTTGCGGGGAACGGAACATGAGGGACCAGGCTCCTTCTTTCCAGCTCACCAGCAAATAAGCCGATCGTCAAAGGACTCTGGCGCCTTTTTTTCTCGTTGGCAAGTACTCGTCCTTCTCAATCATCTGTGCGGGGAATAATTTTACCCATGCAAAGGTCAAAAGAAACGGTTCCCCTATATCCTCTTAAAGACGTCCAGCAAAGCGTCCCCAATTAAAATTAATTCCCACATGGGGCAAAAAGGCGATTCCCCTGCTTTCTTTTTGTGGGAAGAAATGGTGTCCATCCCAAGGTCACCGTAGACTGCCGGATTTGACGAAACATCAAAAAGGAGTACGTGGGGACAAAATTATCTCGGTTGCTTTCTGCTCCCCTGCTAAAAGTGAATAACTTGTAGTGGTTTAATTCGGAAAATCCATTCGGTTTTGTCAAAAGTTGTTCAGCCCCAACATCCCTTGGCAAAATGCAAAGTTCTGGCGCTCCAATCCCTCAAAGCGCCTAAGTACAGCAGCGTGGCAGCGGCGGTCACGTCCTGCACATGGAAGCTCGAAGATGAGGAGAAAGCGCATTTGTTCGACAATGACATGGGTATGGGTCAAAATTAAACCACCAGGATATGGACCACTGGACCACAGGTTTTGGTTTATGTTTCCACTTACCAGGGTTCCAAACTAAAAACAATGGGTACAAATTTGTTTGACCCACAACCACATCCACCTGGGTCAAACTAATTTCTGGCTGGTGTTTTATTCCTTTGGGGCCCAAAGAAAGGCAGCGTCTAGGTCCTCCAGAGAGCTTAGAATAAGGGTACCGATTTTTTTCTGTGGTCTTTTTTAGTACGGGAACCCTTGGTAGAATAAGGGTACCGACTTTTTTTCGGGCATTTTCCGGCACTGGGGGACCTAGGGTGTGTTTGGGGCCAAAAGGAAGTCCGAAAAGGATGGACGCTCGGAGCTCGGAATACGGTTCTGTTCCTCGCAGCCGCAGCTTGCGGAGGGATCAGTTCAAGCTGCCTGGTTCGATCGGGGGTCCTGAGTTGGATGCGGAGCCTGGAATGAGCTGCAGTGACAGCTATTGCTGGTTCGATAGGGAATGAGTTGGCATGACTTGAGCAAAACCAGCCCCTATGGTTTCCTAGGAAATCCCTAGGTTCATTCGCAAATTATTGGGTTATTCTGTACTGTCAACACGAAGTCCACTGGTGCCTAGCCAATGCAAGAATGCAGCGCTTCAGCCAGGGAAGGTAGAGTGGTGACCCCAGGCGAATTTGGATTTTAGCGCGCAAGGTCGGTTTCTAATAATCTAGTGAGGGGTGCCCTTGTTGTTCCCTTTACTACAGTATGGAGTGTTGCTCATATGAGCTGCTGATATTCCGTCAACTTGATTCAATTGAAATGAGAACCGGCCCCGTTGGGCTAGGAACCTTCATGAGGTCGCAAAACTCACCCTTGAGGTCGCGTCTTGAGGACCCCAAACCCTGCACCAGCCAACTAAACTCCTCCCCGATGGGCCGCGTATCTCTTTAGTGGCGGCAACCCAAAAAACAAATACCTGTTTGAGAGATGGTTGAATAAAGTAGCCCCTTCCGCATGAACACTGCAACCTATTTTGGGTCTCTTTGATGGTGCCCGTGCTGATGTTGTTTGAGAGGAAACGAATGGGAAACTGCTCATTTAGGGACCAACAAATGAGACAACTTTGAAATCACCTTCCGGGTATTGGTCTTTGCGAGCTTTCTGCCATCCTAGGTGTCCCTTTGTTGGTCCCTAAATGAGCGGTTTCCCATTCGTTTCCTCTCAAACAACATCAGCACGGGCACCATCAAAAAGACCCAAAATAGGTTGCAGTGTTCATGCGGAAGGGGCTACTTTATTCAACCTGACAGGGGGTCCTCGCATTGAAATTTGATAGACGCCTCCGATCCTATTCCTCCATTTTCTATGTTCAACCGAACTGAGCAAAACGGACGCCTATGCTTTGTGTTCATAGTATTCACACATCCGTTTGGGGAGACGAAGCAGAGGCAAACGGCAAGCAGGCGACTTGGGTGTTCAAGCTCCTCAGTAATTAAGTAGTTAGGTTATAGCCATGGTTATAAGCGGACTAACTCCGAACTCCGGTTACTACCGGTTACCCCAGTTATAACCATAGTCAATCTACTTATTGAGTTGGTTGAACGCCCAAGTAGGGGAGACTCCCCAACACCGCAGAGCAGAAAATGGAAGGACAGAATCAGTTTGTGATGTATCATCAATTGTTTCTCTGATATTGCTATGTACACATCATGCTTGCTTGATGATTATCTCATTATCTCGCTCAAAAGAAAAAAAAAAAAAAAAACATCTTATAGCTACTTACAACACAAACATTTTTACTTGAGCAGGTCACATTATTAGAAACCGCCCACATCCTGATTGGTTTCTCCTACCTCTCGGCCTTCTGGCGATTTCCTTTGGGCCTAGTTGGCACCCAAATGCAACCAGCCAGTAATCGTGTGTGACACCAAACCCACAAGCAACACCAAAAGACGCAAAGGCTTCCACTGAACAACTGAAACTGAAACCCCCCAAAAAAAGAAGGGGTTCCACTCGACAACGGAAACTGAAACCCCACAAGAAAGGAGGGCTCCACTCAACACCTCAACATTAAAGCCCCCAAAAAAAAAGCAGAAGCCAAAGAAAGGAACGGAGGTGTCACCTGGGCTTTGCGGGTCTGTTTCCGCTCCTCATGGATGAGATGCCGGCACGCCACCGAGGGTCTGTCCAGCTGGATCTGCAAGCGTCCCGACGCAAGCCGAGGTGTGAGCGAGCTTGGGGCGCCTGTCCTATTTCATAGAAACCAGCTACAGGAAGTTCTACAGGAAACTAGCCAAATTCCCACCAAAATCAGGGATTTCCTGTAGAACTTCCTGCAGTTGGTTTCTTAGACTTGTGTGTTCAAGCTGTCTAAGATTTGGCTGTGGCTCAAAAAACCGGTTCCCAAAATGGGTTGCCCTGGCAAGTGGAAACATGGACCAACACCTGCAGTTTGCCCCTTCTGTTTAATTTTGAGCCACACCCAGCTGGAACCACCCCCAAACCCAAGCCAATCTTAGGGCTTGAACCGCATGTACAGCCACATGGCCACTACATACTGGGTATCTACCCCCCATGTTTTCTTCTGGGGGTAGCTTTGTTGGGGGTAGTGCCCATCTTAGAAGAAACGAAAAAGCTGCGAAACCCATTTCGCACCACTCGAAAAGGCCATGGTTGAAACCACAACGTTCGTTTGCATTTGTAGGGGGATCGAATCAGTCCAGGGGTTCCTATGTGGTGCAGGAGTTCGCGCATCCACAGTACTTAACCAAGTTGTAACCATGGTAAGGGGACGATCACCCCCAGTTATCCCAGTAACTTGGTTGAAAATCCAAGTAGAAATTGGCCAGGGGGGGGTAAGAAGAAAAACATCAGGTCTCTGTTTTTTTGTTTGGGGGGGGGCAAAGCTTCATGAGTTCCTTGCTTCCCTTCAAACCTTCCTCAAAGTGATGCCCCAACAGACCACCCCGCTCACGCCTCCGCTTCATGGAAACCCAAGCCCTCCTCTGACGCCCTGCATGGATCCCCCAAGCAGGGCCTCATAAGGTCAGGTTGGTTTAGGGGGACAACCCCATACTAAGGTCTTACTAAGGGATTACTTAGATGGCAGAATTCTTGGCCCATGGGGTACACATATGATAAGTTCAGATTCTGATTCACGTCCATTTGATTGTTCGCCCCTGAAAGAAATGAGAACACATGTGCAGTGATAGATTCCAACTAAAGACCAACTGGGAAAACAAACATATTCATTTCAGCAAATGGAAGTTCATATTGAAGCGCTACCCAAAAATATAACATTGGAATCGGAGACATAACTAGATTACCCTGCCCCTGATTCCTCACACAGCAGCAAGCCTTGTGCAGTTTCGCATAGAAACCATCTTCTTCGGAGGTGTGGCTCAAAATGGGTTGGGTTTCCTATGGTTGGGTGTTGGTGTTAGTCTTTGTTTCCATTTATAGAGAGGTGTGATTTTGGAGACCATTTGTTTCAGTTTGAGTCGGAGACTGGCAAGTTGTTCAAGGCCGGCTGGAGCTTTGACGCACGCCCCGTTTTCGCACGCTGCAAGTACTGCTTACCAAGAAGCACATGGCCCTGGGCAATCCGTTCTGTGATGCCAGAGTGGGCGGGTCCCGAGACAAATGTTACCACTTTCAAGTTGAGCCCCTTGGTATCAAAGACAGTGGCCCTAAACTAAATGTCCCACATCCACGAACAAACATGTCAATATCCAGCTTGTCATGGGCTGGTTCAGACCATGGCTTCCCTCCTGCCATCCTGACTTGCGCAATTGACAGCTGGTAGCGTCGTCAAGATGGCATCTACCAAATACATTTGAAGCAACTTGAGCGCCCGATGCTTCTAATTATACCGCAATTTGCACAATTACGGAGACAAGAAGAGTTGTCATTGCCATTGGTATATAAATGTCATACCACTCATGCCTGCTTGTTTGCCTACGAAGGGGAAAAAGAAAGCCCCCGATACAGCGACTGGACGATCGTGCTCTCAGCGCTGGACCCGTTCCAGGCAAGGTGAGTGAATGCAATTCCATTCGTGCGCAGTTGTTGTATGTGTTAGAGCCGAAGTTGGGAAAACAAGTGGCATTGTTTTTCCCTAAGGGACAGCAGGACATCTCAAGCTATGGATGCACCCACGTCCTTCCCACAGGTGCCATGAGGTCTGCCAAAAAGCGTGACCAGCGTTTCATCGGAAGGGCCGGGGCTGAGGATTGGACACTCTAAACATCCTCAGGTTCTTCAAAGTTGGCTGTTCTCCCTGATCGGCCCTTCGTTCATGTCGCGCTCACCATCGGATTCTTCAAGGTTGGCTGTTCTCCCTGGATTGCTGAAGATCTTGATGGTGTGCCCTCTTCTCGCAGCGTGGCATCGGTTGATCCCCCTCTTCTTGATTACGTTCCCCCTTGATTGTTGGTCGAGCAGAAGGACCTCCACATCTTCATTAGCCTCGCGGACCTCCTGGACATCATAGACGTCATGAAGATCTCCCAGGGCCCACCGATTGGCAGCTGGGCGAAAACCGTCGTTTGGTGGAGCCTCTCGTTCGTGCTGGCAAAAATGTGGAATGGATGGGAGGCCTAGGTGTGTTAGCTTGATGCGGGCCGCTTGTTTGTTTCATAGACCCGAGGATCTTTGCTTTTTTTACATACGGCCTCTGAACGTTGCGCATACGGGTGTGTTTTGAGGGTACCCTTTCCGGGGTTGGTTTCAAGGGAAACAAGCAGGAAAACCATTCAGTTTAGAGATCACCCTATATTGAAATATACCCATATGTCAGTGTGTGCGTGGTTCTTTTTTGCATAATAAACCCGCCAAAATGGTGGTTGTCCTTTAGCTTCCCTTTAAGACCACCAGAACATAAAGGGGTCAAAAAGGCAGGCACGCCCACAATCCCCCAACCCCCCAAACCCCCCTCAACCCCAACACCCCCCCAACCCCACATACCTCACACTCACCAATCCCCTCCCCACCCAAGCCCACACATACCCCGCTCGAATCCCCCCACCCCCTCCCCTCTCCCGCCCCGCCTTCCGCAGCTCCCGCTGCGCCTGGGACGCGCGCCGCGCGTCGTCCGAGGCGATGGCCTCGTGGATTTCGTGGCTCAGGCGACGGATGGCCTGGCGGGCGGTTTGCGGCGCAAACCGCGTGAGTGGATGGGCCGAACTGCAAGGATTGGGGGGGCGAGGTATGGGGTGGGGGCAGGTTTGAGAGGGGAAGGTGGGGGGAAGGTGGGGGGAAGGTGGGGGGAAGGTGGGGGGAAGGTGGGGCGGGGGGGGGAGGTGGGGGTGGGGTGGTTGGGGTGGGGTGGTTGGGGGGGGGGGGGGGGGGTTGGTGATTGGTGGTGGCAGGCTTCCTCCAAGTGGACACGTGTTGGTTGGTGAAAAAGGGAAAGCAAAAAAGGAAGCCAACCACTCAACATGGTATTTCAGCAAATCGGTTGTCGAGGGCCCCGAAAAGGGGGGAGGATGCAAATGGTCCCCTCAACCCTATTAGCCCCCAGACCCTATTTGTGGCAAATAAAGCCCCTATTGTAATTGGGAGGGGCGGCCCTTGACAACCATAGGACAGCAAAGTTCAGAGGTTTTGGGTTGATTTACAACCAAAACTATCTCCCCAACAGGCATTAAAGTCCAGGAGCTCAGGAAGCCTCGCAAAAAAAGGGGCCTTTGCAGTTGGTTTAAGAGGGACACCAACCGAAAACCCTTCTTTGGGATCCCCCTATTTAGACTCACACCCATGTGCGGGTTGATCAAGAGTTGTTTTTGTTACATGACCATGGGGGAAAACCACCACATGAATTGAAATGACGTTTTCCCCCTGAAAAGTTATCCATTTGGGCAGGCATATTGAACGCCCATGTCTGAAACTTGGGGCAGCCTCTGGAAACCTTGCGGGGGGGAGGTTGATTTGCGGCTGGGTGGGGTGGGGTCTACGGGGGTGGTCTAGCGGTTGAACCCCCAACACCGACCATGCATATGGTGTCCAGGGTTGGATGGAACAGATTGCCCACGAGGGTCTTCCAATGAGTTGTAATATCGTGTCCTGGATGGAACCCGTTTTGAAAGAGTGGAATCGCCCTTCATCTGCAAGATGCTCTGCATCAACCGCCAAATTTGGGGGCGTTCGCGGCAAGTAGGTGAACAACCATATCTGAAGTGGGGTGAGTTGTTCTCCCTTAAGGGGCTTCCAAGCCCAAAAGCTCCGGTCGAAACTTGGGGACCGTGACATTAGGGCGTACCCACTTTCTCTCTTCAGAGTTCTCGCATGCAAAAACCGGGCCAAACCCAACTGGAAAACAGAGTGGATTCTGGTTAAAAGGATGCGTCGCTTGCACAACCAGCCCAGCCCAGCCCCAGTTAAAGAAAGAAAGAAAACAAGGATCCCCGTGCGGGGTCATGATCCCAATGGTTGCCATGGGAGAAACTGGATGCCTCGGTCGACCCGTTTAGGGGTCCCCGTTGCCCCAAAAAAAGGCCCTCAGAGAATACCCGGCCCCCTGGAGAAAGGATGAGAACAGATGAACCCAGTAGATTCTCTTTAAAACCAGCGGGGAAAAGTAACACAGATTCATGCGGGCAGATGAAGTCTCCTGGAAAAAGACATGTCCAGTGGATAGATTCCAACTTTAAAACCAAGAACGCAAAATACAAGGTAGTCTTCAAAGGTATCAAAAACAAGCATTGAGCAGGAGGTTCTGTTCAGACCTCCCCCTGCGCAAGGCTAACTTGTTGATGGTAGGGGAACATGAGAATGTCCAAGACTTACAAAAAGAGAAGAGAGAAGAAGGCTGACGAACTCTAAGGCGCAATAAAGATGGATTGGAGAGATATTTATAAAACGCCAGTTGAAGAGTTGTGTGCCATGGGGAAGACAAAATGCAAACAAACTCCAGCGGCACAAAAACTCTTCAAGGACTAGCTTTCCCATGGCACAAAACTCGCGAATGCCAATTGGTCTCACTGGACCATATTCTGAAACGGGGGGGGGGGGGGAAAAACAAAACAAGAGTCCAGTGAGACGGCCATGGGTCAAAATCCCGTACAGCCAGTGAACATCCCAATCCAACCACTATATTGTAAGCCTAAAATGGGTGAGAATTCACCTACCCAAAATGGAATCCTACAAACCAAATAGGAAATACGTCCTATTTTTTGGGTGGTGAGAATTCACCGAAACCGATCCCACGGTTCAACGACAGCACCACTTCACTGCCTCAGGCTTTAGCCCCGCCTCCTCAGGCTCCTCGTTGAGCAGTCGAGACCTGGGCCCCAGTTCTTGAAAGAACCCCCCTTTCGCTGGCTAAAACCTCCCAAAAACCCAAAAAAATGCGGCGTTCCCTGTAAAACCACCCCCAAGAACCATGAGTTTTTTGTTTTTTCCCCCACCAGAAAAAAGGCAACCCACATGGTGGTGTCCCTTTGGGTGCCTCAAAATGAGCCCAAAAAGGGTACCCTCACTCCCTTTGTGTGGGCTATGGCCATGGTTCTCTCAACATCGACATCACCAAGCATCTTCCTTTTAACTTAAGGGTAGTCTGTTTTGCGTTGTTGGGGTTCTCCCCTACTCCGGTGTTCGACCAACTTATATAACAAGGAGGTTAGCTATGGTTATAACTGAAGTTAGTCCTCCCAGAACCATGCTAGTCATAGCCTACTTACTGAGGAGCTTGAAGACCCCTTGGCTGCTTTTCAGGCCGAAATCACTGGAATCGTGTTGTGGGACACCAAACATGCTGATTGAGTGAAGACCGTACGAAACCATAGGAAACCGTAGGAAACCACTGCAACTACTCAGGCGCTTATAAAAGCGCTTGTATGAGCCACAGTCAATATTCGTACCTCAAGGGTCATTTGGGGTTCGTGTAGCCCATGTCATCCCCTTCACTACCAACGGGTAAATATGGACTGCCACTCAATGAGCCGTGGCCAAAACCCGTTCCACGGCCTATGGTCATCGCTCCAATCATTACCAAGTGCATGACCGTCCTATCAACCCAAAGTCAAGGAACCAGTCCTTTGACCATGGCACCCTTCCATTTGCTGAACTCCCCTGGAAAAAATGAGAACATATTTCCAGTAGTGAAATCGATTCCCTTAACAACCAACAGGGAAAAGCAACAACACACATATTCATTGCAGCGAATGGAAGCACATGTGTTACCATTCATACAGCTAAATCGAATCCCTGCCGAGCCCCATGCCTGGAATTCGGAGCGCAGCACACTCGAACGCCTGGCACCCGGGCTCTCGCAGGACAAGATCTGGCTGACTTATGTTGAGGGTACCTCTTGGCCTTTTTTTTGATGGTTTCAAAGGGAGAACCCACCCATGTTGTACCTCTTGGCCCCTTTTTGTTGGTGGTTTCAAAGGGGAACCAAAAGGAAAACCGCCCATTTTGGGTCCAGTTCCTAGAAGAGACACCACAATATGAAGCTTCCATGAAGGACATAAGTTGCGCTCGGATCTCTGGCAGACATTGGGATGATGCGTGAGTCCCTTCCAGTTGCTTGAGCCCCCTGGGAAAAAAAAGGAACATGTCCAGAAGTGATAGATTCCTTTTCAAACCAACAATGGGAAAACAAAAAAAACAAAAAACATTGCGGCAAAGCGGCAAATGCAAGGTCCCCAGTTTGGTCCTTGGCACAAGGTCAACCTCGCACTGCCCCCCCCCTATAGCCTCTGGCGCCGGCTCCTCGTTGCGCAAGCCTGGCGCTGGAAGTGTCTGGCACCCCGAAACAGAACACCCCTGGATGCAACGGCCCAAGTTTCACCCGAGCATTTGAGCCTTCATTTGAGCCTTCAGCATTTGAGCAAAGGCACGTGACCAACACACACGCAGATCCAAGCACAACTTCGCAGAAACTAATGCAAATTCGTCAAGTTCGAAACCAGCACTGTACCTCACTGCGGATTGTTTAGACCTGGGGCTGGATGTGGCTGGTTCCTCTGCAATTTGAATTTGGAACCAACCGTCCCCCACGAAACAAATTCGTTTCGACAAACGAGTATCATGTGTGGGAAAAGAAGGGGTCTGCAAATTTCCGATGTACAATTAGTTCCCTAAATATTGCATGTAAATCAGCCGGCTATTGTGATGCAAGCAATGCGACACACAAGTATGCGATTATTCATTATAATCACTGTCAGTATCCTCCGTTTGCTTAAGTCTCCTGTGTGCAATAGTGATAGATTCAACAACGAAGATTGTAAAGTAGTCTTAAGCAAATGAAAGGTACCAAACAAGCATTGAACAGCATGTACTTTTCAGGCCAGACTTTCCCGTGCACAAAGCTAACTTGTTGTTGGTAGGGAAAAATAGGTGTGCATTATTTTTAACCGGGTGGCCGCAAAGAAGTGCCCGTGCTCCCGGCAAACAAGTGCCGGTGCTCCTGGTTCCCTGCAGAAAAACCGCCCCGAAAGCGATGGACCCACACGAAAACACACACACACACACCCACACACACACACACATACACACACACAACGGTAAAGTTAAGGCTGGAGGGCGGCACCGCTTCAAAAATCACCTGTTCCGACAATCTCCGTTTGGCCCCCCATCTTCCCCCTCCCCCTCCCCATCCGCCCCCCCCATCTCCCCCCGTCAAAGGTGGCCAAAGGTATGAATCTTGAAAACTAACAAATGCCAACGACGCTCTAATCACTTCGAGGACCACCGTTGTCTTGCTTTCCACCACCTAACAATCTACAATTGCCGAACCACCTTTGCCCTTGTTTACCACCCTGCACCCACTCCGAATATTCTGTAGTGAAATCCATTCGTGTTTTCTAGGAGACGGGGCTCAGGACCTTTGCACCATTTTTTGCGATACCAACCCCGCTCCCCAGAAGAAACTAGGTCCTCCAGTAGAGATCTTAGAATAAGGGTACCAACTTTTTTCTTGACGTCTATTTTAGTAGGGGAACCCTCCCAACCACAAAAGAAACGTGAGAAATGGCACCTAGCTGCGGGACCTAGGAAACCAATCCCCGCGAGCCACACATCGGGGCAAGAGCCGAACCGCCTCCGCCGCGCGCGCCTCAAGGTGATCTAGGGGTTTGGTCACCTACCCGGAAAACAGCATGGGCTCTAGGAAACGGTTTGGATGCGGTTTGCGTGGATCCACCCTGCACCAAAGAGCACTAAAAGAGGAACAACTGGTACAACAACATGGGGGAAACCACGGAAAGAGCATCCGATCCGTTTGCTGGATGGGGGCGTTTGCTGTCATCAAGGAGCCTTGTTTGGTTTTTGGCCCGAGTGTCTAGACATGTTTGGCTCCTATTAGAGTACCCTAGACACACCCAAGAGAACCAGCACTTTTTTTTCGGCGCCTGAAAAGGGTGCCCTGTAGTAATGAAGCGCCCTTGGGGCTTGGCCCCCAATTCGCCAAAGGGAAAACCCTCCGGTCTGGTCAACAAGGAGTTCTATGCGTTTGCGGAGAAAGCTCCGTCACAAGAGCGAGCCGTTCTCCCAACAATGCTGACCCCAATATGAATCAACCCCAGTGGGTCCCTGGTTTAAGTGGGGAATCATTACTTTTGGAGGGGAACACCCCCTTACTCATAAACTGGGGTTGATATTAATATGGGGCCGGTCAACATTACTTCTATGGTTGTCAAGCTCCCAAGTGGGATCTCCCGGAAAGGGAGATAAGAATGGATCCCAATGAGCCCCATTAGCCCCTGTTGAGATCGGGAAATTGGCAACGCGCCTGGGAGGCCCTTGGCAAATAATCGAAATTCCGAGCGAATCGATCCGTCGCATCGTTCCGGCGCGACGAATCAACTGGGCCCTGCGCAGCAAAAGAGGTGCTGCAGGGAGAACGGCCCACCTGGAGCGAGAGTCGCGTATGGTCAATCTAGACCGCAAGCAACTGCAGCAACCAACTGCACAACCAGCAAGCCATTTTCAACTCTCAGCTTTGAACAAGGAGTTTTATGTTGGTTACCTAGGCAGGAAAATAAGGATTCGCTGCGAAACGGTCAAACTGTGCACAGCTGTCTTGGGAAGTTCGCGTCAGATCAACCAGCTTACCCAAGGAAACTTGGGGTCAGTGGCCTATGTTGAGCTAAACCTAGTCATAGTCCCAGACCCCAATGCAAGCAAAACGATGATAACGGCAGCATGAATCTACAACACCTGAAATGCTGCAAAAAGATGAATTGGCAGCATGACTACTTGATCCTTCAAAAAAAAGAGGAGCGCCTGACATGCTCAGATTCTTCAAAAGAAACGAAGCGCCTCAAACATGCTCGTGTCTTCGTGGCCTCAATAACGCTTGGTGTCCTTCCACGTTCTCCCAAGAAACAATCCCTGACCTTGAATCTACTCCGAGCAATCAGGCCTCGAAAAGATGGTGCATGGGCTTGTCTTGAAATCGGGGACCCCGACAAATGGTGAGTTTACCATTGGTTTCACTTTAAGACCACTCTAAAAAGGGGTGGGCTGTCCGGCTAAGAAAATAACTTTCAATGGGTTAAATGGACCACCCCGCAAAACCCGAACAACCTAAAAACCTAAAGGGACGGTTGGACACAGCCAAGCGGTTTGGCTGCTTTTGTTGGCTAAGCAACAGAAAGGATTCCACTGCGTGCTGTCGTCAGGTTTCTCGGGGTGTTTCCTCGGACAAGAACTTGTCTACCTCGTTGGTTCAGCTACTTCGTCTGTCTGTCTGTCTGTCTCCGTCCAAAGAAAATGTCCGGCTCGCAACGCCCGGTGGGCCAGCCGGTGGCCAAAGACATGTGCAAATCAGATTCTCCCAACTGTGTCAAACTGTCATGAAGCACTCTCACACAGTCTGCCGTTTGATTCGGCATGGTGGATGCTTGTATCTGGTTCGGAATAAGGATCCTTGCATAACTCATGATTCGGCATGGTGGATATTTGCATGACTCTGACCTTTCGCATCGGCATGGTGAATGCTTGCATGACTCTGATTCGGCATGCATGCTGCTGAACTTCTGATTCGACATAAGGGTGCTTGCATGACTCTGCGCTTCTGATTCGGCGCAAGGACGCCTGCATGGCTCTGATCTTTCGATTTGGCATAGTGATGCTTGCATGCCTCTGGCCTGTTGATTGGGCAAAGTGTGACCTGGTGATGAACGCTCGCATGACTTTGACTGCAGTTGTTGTCACCCTGTTTTTTATGTAACAAGCCATAAGCAAGCGGCGCTTAGGAAGCCAGATGTACCCCGTTATAAGTTGTAACCTACTCACTAAGTAGCTTGCACACCCGTCCAACGTGACCTCTACGTTCACGACGTGCAGGTTTCCTCAAGCAAGCTTTAGCAGGTCTTCCAAGTCCTCCACCACCTAGTGTGCCTGCAAAGCACTAGGCCACCTATGTTAAGCCGATCCGTTTTCTTGATCAACTTGGGAGTGACTCTCACGCTCATTGCTTCACCACGATGCTCCGGATACTGAGGAGCTCGTTACAACTTGGGAATGACTCTGTGGGCTACATAGTTGGTCTTACATTTATTTGCTATGGTTGAACACTTGGGGGTTGATCAATAGTCCTGGACCCAAAATGACCCTGATGGTCACCCCATGTATCACGGACCCTTTGATCAACCCCACTTGAGTCACAATCAAAACCCGGTAGTATAATGGTCGTAATCCCAGAACCATGCTTCAAGAACTAAGAAGGCGGATATCCGCAACTATTTCTGGCTGTGACTGCCCCTTACCAACCTTCATCGAGCCCCGGGTTTTGAGTGCGGCTCACTTGGTCCATCTGCGTGACTTCTCGTCCCGAAGGCCGCCCCGGACTCCGCCCGTTCCTCCCGGCACGCCAGGCAGCAGACTCCTCGGCCGAGGTGAGTTGGGGGCCTTTGGTTTGGCAGTGGTCAGGGATGAAGGGTTGTTCTTGTGAACGAGGAGAGCAACTTACTTTGGGCATGATGTGTTGTCTTCCTCATATTGTTCTCATACTCACTTGAGTGGATTGGCCAAACCAAGTCCAGGAACTGTTCACTTGCCACCAAAATGGTTCTCCAAAGAAGTATGAAGTCCAGGAACTCGGGGAGTGTAGTTTCACATCCTCTCATCTTTGAGGGCTGGATTTTGCTCCTTGACACGGGCGAGCTTGGGCTTCTTTATTCGAAAGAGACGTCATTTGGGCCGCTGCTCATTTGGGCCCCAGGCTCCTGTGGGGCGAGCTTTGGTTCCAGGCTCCTGGGGGCTGTTGGGGTTCTGAGCTTTGGAGCCGGCTCCTCTGAGAATGGAAATCCCAAGTTGAAGCGTCAGGGAAAGCGGGGGTTCTTGCGTGCCCCCTCAAGCATCACCAAGACTCGAAAAACTGACCGCAAGGAGATCTTCAAACCACACAAGGAAACTCAGGATTGCCACGAGGTCGCTGTGGCGTGTCTGTTTTTTGAGGCTCGTTGCCCTTTGTTTGGTTTCAAGTGAAACAGTCAAATCACTGGTTTGGGTTCCCTCATTTGGAGGCAGTCCAACTCACTTCCTAAGTGGATCAGTCAAAAAGAGCCTGAACTGTTTGTTTACCTCTACCACGGTCATTCAAAAAGTGTCAAGTCCAGGTACTCAGGAAGTGAGGCCCATCACAGACTCTTGGACATGCCAGCTGACCAATCTTCGGTTTCGTTGGGGTACCGTGGTGACCAACAGTTCGCCTTTAAGGATGTGGAGAATGAAAAGGTTTTGGGAAATGACACGGCCAGTTTCAAAATGCGGGCAAAGTAAGTGGCTCGTTCGCCAGTGGTTTCCAGGTCACCACCCCCCCCAAACAAAGAGGTTGCTTATACCAATCAAAGGCAACACAGCTTCGATCACATACGTATATACACCTACATATACTTGAGTTACTTGAGGGTGTTGGACGACTAAGTGACGACTATCCTCCTAAGGCCCCAAACCTTGTATTTTTGGAAAAGATGGAAGTTCTTCATCTACTCCCCGCGCCAAAGCAAAAGCATAGCACCATGATTAGAAAATGCTACCCAACTTCAAGTAGATTTTCTTTTGGGGGTGGGGTGCTTCTGGGCCCACCCCCTGCTTTCCGAGCCGCAGGGGCGGCTTGCACGGCTGCAGGTGACGGTCCTGCGGCGACAAATGCCTTCGATTTAGCTGCTCGAACCCGCAAAGCCGCAAGTAACCCCTCTCAAGACCTTGCTGGGTGGTTCTGTTCCTAGCTGGTTTCATGGTTGAAGTCTAGTTTTGCCTTTGTACAGCTTGTTTCTATGAGGGTTTTCCAGCTGGTTGGGCCAGCATACCAGCAGGCTTTGGAAGGGACGTGCTGGGACAAGCTCTACTTACCACCAAAACCAGGGAACGGATCCTATGTCCTGACGAGTTGCAGTTCTGGCATGTGCTGTGGTCGGTTTCGGGGGTTTCAGGGCTCCCGAAGGAAGGAGCTCCGAAGGAAGGAAAGCAAACAAACAAACAACCACCAAACAAAAGAAAATTAATAGACAACAAATTAACAGCAAACAAGCAAAGCAAACCAAACCAAACCAAATCAAACAAGGAACGAAATTGTTTGCGTAGCCAGCCACTGAACATTGAACAGAACCCCCAAAGCTGCAAATTCAAGCTACAATGCAAGCCAGGAACTTCACGAAGTCACATAAAGTCCCGACTGGTGTACCGCCAAAGCGATCTTCCGGAAATGTTTGAAGTCCAGGTCCGAAACCAGGGAAGTGATTGGCCCTTGGTGCAACCTTGCCCTTGAGCGGTTTCAGAGATCGTGTAATATTCCCCGTGGAAAACCACCCACAAAAGGACAATCGCTTTGATTCGCTTCGGGTAAGTGAGTCAACTATTTAAAAGACCCAGAGTGTTGTTGCCCCAAGAAGGCAACCCAACCAATTCTCTGCCCAGTGGCATCTTGAGGCTCGCAGCCCTGCGTAAACCCAGCACAAGGGAAATAGCTCCTCCAGACTTGAGAGGTTAGAATAAGGGTGCCCAACTTGTTGCAGGTTTGTCTATTTTAGGGTTTTTTACCCTCCAACCCAAAAAAGAAACGGTACAAGTTGGCACCAATTGTTGGGGGAAGGGAACGTGCAGGGTCCCAGCTGATCCTTGCTGGTGCAAAGGTGCGACCCGATGGGGTTCTCCGTCATGCATCTCTAAACTTTAGCAGCTAAGTTGGAATTTCAACCACTAAAACACAATAAACAAACATGTAAAACATGCTCCAACAACAACCATGTGTATTTCTTAGTGGCCACTTGGTGAGTGAACAATACCCTCCCACCAACTAACATGTAACATGCTGTCCCAACAACAACCCTTATAAGTTGATTCGCTTCGGCTGAAGGGAGCCAATCCAAAGCCAGGTCGTCGCACGGAAGGCGAGCCGCGCCTCCCAGAATCACCGCTGACCTCTCGAGCGGCGAAAACAAACGAGTGACACGAATCCGCGCGAGATGCTGAGGGCTCCAACGGCATTTCGCCCTTTGCTTCGCTATCCCAAAAAAGACTCAGAAACTCACTTGAAGAGAGGTGCTGGGACTTGGTTCTCCAGTAGAAGGGTTAGAATAAGGGTACCCTTTCTTCTGTAGTCTATTTGCTTTTTCTCAGAACCCTTCCCCCCCAAAAAGGGTAAAAGGGCACTACTGGGGGACCTAGTCACTTGGTACTGGGATCATGATTTTGGCTGTTTCTAGGGGGTATCAAAGTCAGAAAAGTCAGAGCCTCGGGTTGTTGCCCTTTCACCCACCATTTAAAGGGGGTGGAGGAGGATCAACAAGGGTAAAACCATGGGTTTGGTGTCCTTTGGCTTCCGTTCACCCAGGCGCGCACAAACAACATGACATAGCATTGCTGCATGTTGTCACTGCAGGATCAATTTGCTTGAGGGTCTGCGCTGAAACATCACTGCTCTCAGATCAGGCTTTGAGTTTCATTTGAAAGTTTCTGGTGGCTAAACGTCTTCCCTTTGCCAGGGCGTTTAGACCAATCCTGTATAACCCAGGGCTGTATATGGGATTACCGGATAGCTTCCACCATAAAGCAATTACTACCACAGTGCCAAAAGCAACCGTCAGTTTTTAAGACTACCCTCCCCCAGACTAACAGCCGCAAGCTCCCAGGACCCCTTTGGAAGACTGGGTTCCATTTACAACATGTCAGTCTGAATGACGGCTTCCCCTCGGTTACAAACAACCCCAAAAGGAACCTAAAGCACCGAGCCCCTCTCTTTCTCCGTTGCCTCAAGCATCACCTTTCGGGCCATGAACGGAATTTCTCGGCAGGTCCTCTATTTCCCCATGGGTGGCTCTAAACATAGGTCAACTAGGTCCTCCAGTAGAGAGGTTAGAATAAGCGTACCCTTTTTTCTGTAGTCTATTTTAGTAGGGAAACCCTCCCAAAAAAAAAGCTGGTACAAAGGCACCACTGGGGGACCTAGTCCACCATTGTCAAAGTGCAACCCTGCCGTACCCTTCGGTCTGAGTATGAATTTCGGGGCCCTGGAGGGTCACTTCTCAGGTGGGTTTAGGTCCACGAGCCATGGCTATTCCTCATAAAAGAAAACAAGACAATCCGCATCAAATGGAGGCTGAGTATTCACGTTATGTGCAAATCAACAAAAGCAAACACATAGACACATGTGGGATAAAAACCAACCCACCAGGGGGCGCCAGGTTTTGGCCCATGTTTCCAAGGCCAACCCATGTTACGCGCTTTTCACCCGCCACCATGGGCGGGGCTCATTTTTGGGAGGGCTCCCCGGTTCGACGCCCAGCGAAAGCCCCGAGACTCCCAGCGCCCGCCTGAACGCCGGAAGTGGAAGCCCTGAGCCGACGTCTTCGGCTTCGGCTGGGGAGAAAGAACCGGACTCAAAACCGGAGGCCCGGGCGGGAACCACGAAATGTGGCCGTGGGTCAAAAATAGGGTAACCTCCCCAAAATGGCAAGAGCCCCAAATGGAAACAGGACTACCTGTGGTCCATATCCTGGTGAAATGTGAGTCACAATCAAAACGCTTTGTATTAAAATGATCGTAATCCCAGAACCATGCTTCAAGAACTAAGAAGGCGGATATCCGCAGCCATTTATGGTTGGGATTGAACCTTCATCTACCCGGGTTTTGATTGTGGCTCAACTGGGGCACCCTCTAAAAAAGACGAGCCATAGGGGTGACTGGGGTGATCGTGGCCTTACCATGGTTGTCACCCTTGCTGCCTTCCGTTTTTGGCCTTACCCAACAGGCGAAAACCTTAGCCACTTGCTTTGCTCTGGGAGTCGCTAAATCAACTGATTGATTTTGCCAATGTCACCACCAAACCCATGCTTTCATCGAGCAAGTAGCTTTCCTGGCAAGCCACCCATTGTAAATCTTAAAATGGGGCTTGAATCCCCCAAAAAAGCCCGGGTTTTCTTTTGGTTTGCCTTTCTTGCTGGTGCTCAGTAGGGAGTGAGGGATTGACCCCTATAAACTATATAACTGGTGGTTTCCTTTAAGGGGACCCCAAAACGGTTCATTCCCTCATTCCCTACTGAGCACCAGCCAGTCAGTGGGTGAGAGGGACCGTACTTGGGTGTTCAATCCAGCTAGTAAGTAGGTGATAACCAAGGAGACAATCACCCCTGGTATACCCATGGTAAAAAAAAAAAAAAAAAAAACTACTTCAGTTGTTGACCATACAAGTACGCGAAGTAAGCCTTAGTTGATTGAATGGTTTGGGGGATTGAAGGTCCTTCAAACCACCAACCTCAACCTACCCAGAGTGTTCTATCCAATTGACCAAAAGATGAATTCCACCAAAACAGGAAATATGTGGGTATATACTTTCTGGAGGCTAGCCTTTTTGGGTGGTTAAAAGGAAAACAGAAGGAATGGCACATTTGTTTAGGGCCTTTGTTCTTTCGCACAACCCCATCTGCTCAACTCCCCGCTGCAAAAAAAGACACAATATTGCCATTAGTAAAATCGATTCCCTATCAAACCAACAAGCGAAAATCATACATGTTCCATTCAGCAAATAACAGCTGCCGATTGTGATTCCCTATAAAACCAACAGAGAAATTCACAAACATATGCCATTCAGCAAAAAAAACTGTCAGTTGTGATTCCCTATAAAACCAACAGGAGAAAATCACAAACATATTCCATTCAGCAAATACACAAACTGCCAGTTGTGATTCCCTATAAACCCAACAGGATAAAATCACACACATGCTCCATTCAGCAAATTTAAAAAATAAAAAAATGTCAGTTGTGATTCCCTATAAAACCAACAGGAGAAATCGCAAACATACTCCGACTCCATTCAGGAAAAATCCAACTGCCAGTTGTGATTCCCTATACAATCAACATATTTCATTCAGCAAATAAGCAAACTGCCAGTTGTGACTCCCTATACAACCAACAGGAGAAAATAACAAACACTCTCCATTCAGCAAATAAATATATTAAAAAACTGCCAGTTGTGATTCCCTGTAAAACCAACAGGAGAAAATCACAAACATATTCCATTCAGAAAGTAAACAACTGCCAGTTGTGATTCCCTATAAAACCAACAGGAGAAAATCACAAACATATTCCATTCAGCAAATACACAAACTGCCAGTTGTGATTCCCTATAAAACCAACAAGATAAAAGCACACACATATTCCATTCAGCAAATCAAAAAACTGCCAGTTGTGATTCCCTCTAAAACCAACAGGAGAAAATCACAAACATACTCCATTCAGGAAAAAACAACTGCCAGTTGTGATTCCCCATAAAACCAACAGGAGAAGAACATCACAAACATACTCCATTCAGAAAAAAAAAAAAAAAAAAACGCCAGTTGTGATTCCCTATAAAACCAACAGCAGAAACTCACAAACATACTCCATTCAGCAAATAAAATACTGTCAGTTGTGATTCCCTATAAAACCAACAGGAGAAATCGCAAACATACTCCATTCAGCATTAAAAAAAAAAAAAAAAAAAACTGCCTGTTGTGATTCCCTATACAATCAACATACTTCATTCAGCAAATACGCAAACTGCCAGTTGTGATTCCCTATAAAACCAACAGGAGAAAATAACAAACACTCTCCATTCAGCAAATAAATATATTAAACAACTGCCAGTTGTGATTCCCTATAAAACCAACAGGAGAAAATCACAAACATACTCCGACTCCATTCAGGAAAAAACCAACTGCCAGTTGTGATTCCCTATAAAACCAACATATTTCATTCAGCAAATAAGCAAACTGCCAGTTGTGATTGCCTATAAAACCAACAGGAGAAAATAACAAACAGTCTCCATTCAGCAAATAAATATATTAAACAACTGCCAGTTGTGATTCCCCATAAAACCAACAGGATAAAATCACAAACATGTTCCACCAAGCAACTACACAAACTGCCAGTTGTGATTCCCTATAAACCCAACAGGAGAACATCACAAACATACTCCATTCAGCAAGCAAAAAAAACTGCCAGTTGTGATTCCCTATAAAACCAACAGGAGTAAACATATTCCATTTAGCGCACGGAAGCTCATATGAGCCACAATCAAAACCTGGGTAGATGAAGGTAAGTAAGGGACGATCCCAACCATGTAACCATAGATAGTTTCGGCCGCCTTCTTAATCCTGTGCATGGTTCTGGGATTACGACCATTTTAGTACTGGGTCTTGATTGCGACTCATATTGAACCCTCCCACCGCTCGCCTGAAAGCCCGGGACCGGTGAGGGCCATCTTTCCCTCGAGCCGAAGCGGCGCTCGGCTGCGCATTCTCTGGCTGACCGGCCAGCGGCATGCGGAGGGGGCGGGGGCGGGGTTGGTGTTTTCTGTTTGGGATTTGTTTTTTCTTTCGGGGGAAGCGGGTGTGTGTTGTTTGTGCTTCCTTTTTTTAAACGGAAACCGGAAAGAACTCCAGCTTGGGGTTGGTTTCAAGGAAAAAAGCGGAGACCCAGCCTTTGGGGGACACCCTTTTGCCAATTTCACGGAAACCCAAAACAGAGCCACCCCTTAAAACCAGGTAGACCGGTAAAATGAACACAAACCCTCATTTTGTGGACAGTGCCATCTGAAAAGGACACCCCGGTTCTGGCATGCGGTGGGTCATCTCTAACGTCACTTTGAAAGGAATTGTGTTTCGAATCCTGAAACCAAACTGTCAACAATCAGAAAAATTGTTGCATCAATTCAAAACAGAAAATATTCCGGTCTCACAGAATCCTGAAACCCAAACTGTCCAAAGCCAAGAAGCATCAGAAAGAACAAACGTGGACACATGACAACTTTATTTAACCCATGTGAACAAACGGGGTCTGAGGTTCTGTCGGAGCTTTTTGGGGTTCGACCCATGACCCGCACGGTTCTGTGATACCATCCATTTTTTCTCTCTCACCTCACTGACACAGGATGTTGGTGACATTTCCCAATGGTATTTGGTGCTCGTGTGGCCCATGTTACCCCCTTTGCTGTAAGATGACCGTCGCTCACCATGGGAAATGGGTGGTGCCCCAGGTTACTCATGGGGAACGTCTGGCTATCCAATACCCAAACCAGCATACAGTAGTCTATTCCAAACCCATGCAATGCAAAAACGGCGACGGGTGGCTCATGTTGCATGCCCCACTCAAAATCAACTCCAATTGGGGAGAGAAATCCTTGAAATGGTTGCAAAAAGCGACACAGGTGTCATTTTTTGGGGACCCCAAAAAATATGATGTTCCTTTTGGTTTCCCGACCCACAAAAAAGGAATGATAAGTCCTGTGGAAATATCGGCAAACACGTTTTGGCGCATCCCGAAGACACAACCCGCACGTCGACTATGCGACCTGGCCTCCACAAATGGCTGGCCAGAAAACAAAATGTTGGGCCTTTGCTGGATGAAGACATTCACCTACAAGCATGCCGTAACTAGGCAGCTCAGCGGCAGGTTGGCATTATTTTGTTGCAACCCCATAGATAAAAACAAAGAGCAGGTGCAAAGCGTTCTGAAAAGGGGGCGTGTGCCCTTTGATTGGTTTGCTAGGTCCTCCAGTAGAGAGGTTAGAATACGGGCACCCTTTTCTTTCTGTAGTCTATAGGGGAACCCTCCCAACCAAAAGAGAAGGGTGAGAAAGGGCAGCTCCCCAGACCTAGTTTGGGCTCACAGCCTCTCCCCATCTTGTCGGAGCGCCCAAGCCGCCCTTTCACAGCGGCGCGGCCATGTTTTCCCCTCCAGTCAACCGATGGCTCGTGACACAGGCAGATCGCCTGCGCACGCAAACCGATGGCTCCTTTTCGCTGTCGGCGGCTGGAACAACCAACAACTTGGCTCAAAAGCTGTTGGCGGCTGAAAAAAACAAAAAACAACTTCAATACGGCCTAAACTATATTCCATCGGGGTGGGGTAGTTTTGAACCACAAGACATGATTGTAGAGCAATTCTCAAGCCCCTGATATTACTCATGGAAGCTGGCAGGAGGTCTTTGGAAAACAGTCCTCGTAGAAAGGCCTCCGATGAGCAGCCATGATTGGAGAGTGTCCACATGTGCAAAGGTCAAAACTTGCAATTGTCCATTTCGATTGAATCATCACCTTTTTGGGCCCTCGTAGAGTGAGCTTCCTGCGGGGTGATGTTGAAAACCCTCGCGGCTGGGAAGCCGCCAGGGAGCGTGAGATGGATTCTCCTCGGCATGGCCGAATCTCCGAATGGCCGACACGGCGAGGTGAGGTGAAGAAACATCCAGCAGTCTATGGTTTTTCAATTTTCGGGTGGAAAGGACATGGGGTCACTCTCTAAATTTCAGAATACACCAGAGAACTCGCTAGTTTCCGCATGCAATTGGACAGCTTGTAAAGGATCTGGGTGATCCGAATTCGGTTGCCCAAACAAGACGGATCCGGCAGGATGGAAAATTGGCCCCTTGTAAAAGGAGAAGACATCAACACTTCAGAAGACAAAGGGCAGAACAGTTTAAAAGCCTAACCACGGGGAAAAGAAGACAAAAAAAGCACGGGGAACCTTTTGCAAGTTTTCTATGGGGGGGGTTCGTCTGATACAGGATGAACCAGGATGAACGAACTCCTGGATAGGGAGTGTCCCATCTCCAAAGGGATCATTCACTTGCGGGGGGACGCACCACCCCCCCCCCATTTTTCCATTTCTTCTCCCTCGATACAAGCCGAAGGAATCCGAGGTGATCAATGACTTTACCCCTTGCAGCTCTCTCCGGTGAAACATCCGGTGCTGTAAATATGCAACACAGCTAGGGGGCTGATGCAAGGGGGAAGCTTCACAGTAGGTCCAAGTTTTTAGGTCGAGCCGGCTTGGGAGTTTGACCCTTGGCATCCAGTCCCAACCAGTCCTAGTAGGGACCTATTTCCAGCGTTGCACGGATAGAGAAACCATCCGGCCAACCCCTCAAGATGCCCTGTTCGATACGACCCACAAGGCAGCGCAGAGCACACCAGCAACATTCGGATGATCAGATCCTGACCATCCCTGTGAACCCGAAGGGGTCTTTTGGCACACGAAGGAGACACCAGAGGCGCCCTCGACCCCCTTAGCCGGCCACCCTGCCTCAGAAGCCCCACATCGCCGGGCCAGTAGTGCCGGTGATCCCTGGGACGCCGATGCCGTGATGCCGTGCAGGGTCATTTTTTGCAGGGCTCGCTTTTGTCCCCCCAAGAGAAAACTCACCTACAATTGGTCACAATATAAGTGACGCAAAGGGACATCACTGGGACCCAGTCAGCTGTCAATAAAAATCTGGCAAATGAGTGTGGATCAATGCGCAAAGCTGCAAACGCGCTAATCAGGGGAGGCTACAAGTTTCAGAATCTTGCCCACTTGAAAGTGGAAAAGTTTGTGTTCCCCATTGCTGCCTATATAGTAATGTTGACCCCGAATTAATCACCTATATATATATACATATATATTATCTCTATATTATATATGGGTGTCCCCGGTCTTAGCGCGGGGGTTTCATCACTTTTGGAGGGCCCCCACCCCCAACATTGAATAAATAACAGGGGTTGATTGTTATGGGGTGGGGGTCCCTGGTTCGGTGGGGAGTTCTGGAGGGGCCCCCACCCCCCAACATTGAATAACACTGCAGGGGGCTGATTACTCCGGGGTCCACATTCGGAGTAAGCATGTCACTTCGCTGGGTTTCTAAGGGCTTTGGACTTGGGGCGACTCAGGGGGGATTTGGGGGGGGGGGGCTGGGGGTTGGAAAACACGAAGTCCAGGTATGGTAGTACCCTTCCGGGTACTATACAGGCTTCTGTCATCAAATTGAGGTGAGGTGCGGAAAAAACACAATCTTTGGGGAAGCTATGGTCATGAGGTACTAGAACGGCGATAAGCAGAATAGTTGCGGATAGCGATGGTCAAAGGAGAATGATAGTAATGCAGTGACCCTCCCAATACTAAAGTCTTCTGTCTACAAACCATTGTTCCCAGACAAACTCCTTCCGTGGAGGGAGGCGGCTTTGCCTTTATTTTCAGGCAGACTCCGAAACCCCTTCTGAACATTTGTTGTAGAGTAACACAATTAAAAGGCAAAACAAGAAAAGCCAAAGCCACAATCCAAGCCTCCAACCCTTGCCATTACTGGGCGGTCCGACTTCTGATCCCCTAAAGTCGAGAACTTGTGGGCTTTATTCGGAACTTCCACTGAAGCAACTAGGAAAGCCACACCTAGGGACCCAGACAGGTTTCCCTACCAAGTATAAACAAAATATCAAAACACAAGGAACCCGACTTGGAACCACCAAGATGAGAGTCTTTTGGTTGAATCCAAGTTTCAAATTCTGGGAGCAAAATCCAAGTGAGTGTCGCTTTCGGACCTAAGCTGCTCAAAGTTGTTTTTCAATACGCCTTTGACAGAACTAAACTTGGTCCTCCAGTAGAGAGGCTAGATTTTAGTAGGGGAACCCTCCCCCCAAAAAAAGGTGAAAGGGCACTACTGGGGGACCTAGAAACTGGGTCCTCCTAAAGACTACCAGGGCGTCTTTTGTTGGAGTTGGTACCCCTCCCACCAACCAACATGGACCCTGACGTTTGGGGGTCCCTTAAAAGGTACCGAAGCCCTTGTTGGGTGGGACGCCAAAAAGAAAACCGAGGCCCTTTTTGGGGAGTCCAACCAAGACGGAGCCAAGGATCCGGTTTTGGCCCCTCTGGAGTAAGCCGGGAAGGGGTGTAGCAAGGGTTCACTGCTTTCCATGGGCTCGGATCACAAAAGAGGGAGGCGAGAGCCACTGACCCGCGGAACATTTCACCAACGTGATCCAAGAACTTCACATGGGGCACCGGACTTCCCCATCAGTTGCCATGGACTGGTGGCTTTCCTTGACTAGGTCCTCCAGTAGAGAGGTTAGAATACGGGTATCCTTTTTTGTAGGCTATTTAGTAGGGGAACCCTCCACAAAAAAAAGATAAAACGGCACTACTGGGGGACCTAGTGGAGGTTCCAACAGGTTTAGACCGTGTGGAGCCCCAACCAATTGAGCATAAAGGAGCAAGAGGTCCTTCAAGTGTCCTTGAATTGCTCGGGTTGCACCCTTTTGACTGGGCTGTAACTGCTAAAACTTGAACTTGGGATGGAAAACTCACCAACCTAAAAAACGAGAAAGAAAAAGGGAAAAAAACTAAGAAAAAAAAACACGAAGGAAAAACGATGGGGATGGCTGAGAGCCCTACCACAAAACCCGAAACAGCTCAAAGGCTACGGAATCAGATGGATGGCGGGGAGAACCGAATCGTCAGGCCGATCTGAACCGAGCCGAGGATCCATTCTGGAAGAGCATGCCAGTGATGGCCATCTGAGCCGCGAGAAAAAAACAAGGTGCGCAATTTACGGGCGCGATCATAAAAAAATCCGCAATTTACGGGCTTATGGAGGTTTTTGTGTTTTTTTTTGGGGGGGGAAGGGGAAGGGTTTTTTGGGGTGTGTCCCCCTTCAAGGGGTTGAGGCTGCAGGCATCAGCAGCTGAGTTCCCCCCGAATTCTTGGGGGGGATCTTTGGGGGGAAAGGGAGGGGTGCCGCGGCTACGAAGCGGGCGTTGCCTAAAAAGTTTTTTTGGGGGGGGTTGCGGGGTTGGGGGGGTTGGGGGGGTTGGGGGGGTTGGGGGGGTTGGGGGGGTTGGGGGGGTTGGGGGGGTTGGGGGAGTTGGGCCCCCCAACTGGGTCCAAATATCCAAAGCAGGCCAAGTACAACCCATGTGGCCGTGTGTCAAAACTAACGGCCTCGATCTTTGAAGAGGGTTTAGATAGGGAACCAAAATGAAACTAAACATTTGGAGCTTTGACCAGACCAGATTTCACCGGGAAATCCTGTCGTTTCGGGGTCCTGGTTTGGACTATTTTCCATCGAAATTGGCCTTCTTGAGAATTTATGCAAACCCCTGCAGAAAAAAAAAACAAAAAACAAGCACAAAAACCATTTCACAGGGCCCTCATATCCATCCCGTGGGCATATGGCGCGCTTTCCCCAGAGGCGCGGAAGGAGCCGATCTGCCTTGTACAAGTCGTCCTCCAGCGCCGTTCTTCCAGTTGCCGGAGAGGGCGTATGGATGCGCGTGGCGTCCGTCCCCCATCGCCAGAGCGTGGAACAGGCAGCGTCCCCTGTCGCCAGAGCTTGCAACAGGCAGCGTCCCCCGTCGCCAGAGCGTGGAACAGGCAGCGTCCCCCGTCGCCAGAGCGTGGAACAGGCAGTTGCCGTCGCCGGGAAGGTCGGCACAAGTCGCGAGCCGCGAGTTGCGGTGTAGAGGCGGCTGTCAAAGCGCGTGCTGGTCCTTTAGTAGGGGTGTGGGGTGTGTCTCAACTTGGGGACACCCCACATGGATGCGTTCCCTTCAACATCACCTCAAAAAGGATACCCTCCAAGACACACTCCAAGACACATCCAAATGGCCCAACCGTCTGATGGTTATGAAGAGTTCCCCCCTGAAATCAAAAAACAGACGCCAAGAACTCGAAATTCTACATTCGATTTTTCCACTTTATTGATGGTTTCAAAGCGAAACGACACTGAAACCCACCATTTTGGGGGTCCAACCTTCAAACGACACACCCACATTGCGCCTTTCTGGGCTCCTGTTGTTGTTTCTTCGAAACATCGCCGTGAAAGGGGTCCTCCAGAAAGGTCCCTGGGCTGCGTATGCTAAGGGGCTGGTGCCAGTGGCAATTTAAAGCCGCATCCTGTGCCAAATGGAGGTGCGACGGTGCCGGGAAGTGAATCAAATTATGTGAAATGAATCGACCCGAAGACAACGAAGTGGTGCTGTCGGATCTCAATTTGCCTGGAATTATGTCTGAAAATCGACATGCACCCTTAATAGCATCCGTGTGTACAGAAAGACACCCGTTTCCACGTGTCTAGTTTCACAAAAGTTGAAACATGGTGATGATGAATGAATTCATGAACAGATTCAGACTTTCGAAGTTTTTCTACCTCAACTTGCTGTTCCTCTTGTTCTAGTCATATTTCTTCATTGAATTGCAACACAACCCTTATGAAATCCACCGTTACGATAGCGCCATGTGAACATCATTTGAAATGGAACAGCGCCTCGAACAATATACATGTATGTGTCACGTCATTTGCTCTCTATTTAAACAAATCCGAAAACGCAAAAGGGTCAACTTCTGAAAAAGTCGAGGTTTTAGATTTGTTTCCGACACACCTGGAAAAACAATCAAGATGCTGTTCAC